CCGGTGTTATTTGTTTGGAGTTTGACAGATTTTTGACGTTTGCCAAAGTTAAAGTAAGATGGTGCAACCCAGCCTTACTGCGACATTTATTTAACTATCCAACTCACTAGTTTTAGCATCATGAAGTTAAATAAGACATTGTACCTATAGTTTATTCTAGTTGAACCGGCGAACTTGTTACGCCTATGTTCATCAGAATAATGTAGGATTGTGATGATGAAATAATTTTTCAAATAATAAATAATGTTATTTTGACTCATTGTTGAAATAGTTACCCTTTTAGATGTCCTTTCATTTTTAACAACTTCGATGTTGAACTAACTAAATAAAAAAATATATGGCTGAAGGGCTTTATTAGCGAAATCCATTCCCAAACTTGTCAATTGAAGCAAACTAAGTTATTATGCGTATTTCCTCCACTTTTATCGGGACCGCAAAATAAAAGGGAACGGGTCGCACTCAGCTTCAAAGTTATGAAAGACGTTACATTTCCTTCGACGTCTCACAATAAATCGTCATTATCCCCCAATTATGGGGGATTGGCCCGTGATTATTATGTATGGTCATGGCGATTAGTTGCCATTGAATGGCGCCTAAGTTTCATAGCATTTAGAACACAAGCGGAAAAAATTGGATCACAAAATCTGACCAATATCACGTTACATAATTTAAAGCTATGCATTCTGCATATCGAAACATTTATGGATTATTAGCGGCCGCCTGCGAATTCGTACGCGTGGACTCCGTTTTACCCCATTAGGAGTTGAATTTTACAAAATCCCGTCTTAGTGAGCAAATACGTTCTAAAAGGATCCCCCATGCAAAATTTGAGACTCCTAGCACTTGTAGTTTCTAAGATTTCGCGATGAGTGAGTGATTCAGTGACCTTTCGCTTTGTGGTCCAAAAATAGTTGTTACATCATAGAGAATACATACGAGTAAAAGGCATTTTACATACGTTACAGTTGCTATGAGTCATTTCATTCTAACCCACTTAAGGCCAAAATCAGTGGACATTCCAACTCACGATGCCTTGATTATTGCTGGATCGATTTCCATCACTTTCCATTACGCCCGGGGCTCAGTTTAACAGCGTTACAAGTCTACACAATCCAATTTTGACCCTCGGACCCGACCCGGCCAGCCCGGTCCAATCCGGTGCGAAATGAACCGCGGGATTGAAGTACTGACCCGGGTCGATTCTAGCCCCTTCGAAAGTTAAGCAAGATTTAGTTTTAAAGTTAGTTTAAAATTAAGAAGGTCAAGTTTAAGATCACTTATAAGTGCTTATTTAAATGAAGCGGGGCTTATTGACATTAAAACAAAAGTCCATGGGATTATTTCATGAAATATCGTTTAGACTTTTCACTTTAGTAATAAGAGTATTAATGCAGTATTAAGCAGGTATTTGACTGAAAAACACCTGATGTTAAGTGAGATGCAGTTTAGGATGGTACCTACCCTGTAAGCCTATTCATTCTCACCTTGAAGAGAACGATATTATATTAAAATAGGTATGTGGTAACTATAATTTTAAAACACTTTTGTAAAGGACACAAAATTTTATGTTATTTTAAGGTAAAATAACGAAATTAATGGCCATACGTCACACTTACGGATATCCTTAAACGTAAACGGAACGGAGAATCGCCGTAGTAAATAACTTAAACGACTACAGACGTACTACGACGCTACGAACATGCTACGATGCTACGAGCATGCTCCGATCGTTTCTCCATACAGACAGATTCACGGTGTAGTAAGTTAGCTACGAAATGCTACGGCGTAGCGCTTACTACGAATTCGTAGTTTGCAGTTCTGTGAGACAATCAAATAGATATTTTATTGGTTTAACGTGAAATTATTTCATTAGTCTAGTACCCATAGTACAAGCTTTGCTTAATTTGGGACTAGAAGCGCAGTGTAAAATGTCTAAGGATATTTATTATTATTATCATTTATTCATTTTCCTTCTTATTTTTAATATTTTTTTTACAATGTAAATTATTATCATTATTATTAAAAACAGGAAATAAAGTAAGTAATGAATAAAATAATACGTCACAATTTTTTCATTCACGACAACTTTTGCCTTCGACCGTCTTTCCAACAAGTCTGTGTTGCTACTGTATTGTTTTATAGAGCGGTATAATTCTGTACCCCCAGTGAAAACGGAGTTAAGTCAAAAATGGTGATTTTTGGGAAATCGCATTTGAAGTTAAAAAAAATCCTGCTTCGTCGCTATTAGANCAAAGGCCAAGTCACACAACATTAACTATAATAATAAAGAAATCGCAGTAAGGAACCATAGACTTGGCACGACTTTGTCTAGATTTCATTACTTTTTAGAGATAAACAAGCAGCTCCATCGAGACTTGGCTAGTTTTTTACAGAATGTTTTTGGTGGGATTATTTGATTCATACCCACTCAAACCATTTGGATGTTAATGTCGAAGCAAGTCTTACTTATTAAGCAACGATGGTAGTCTAGTAGCTTTTTTATTTTTTTTCGCAATTTCACTACTGGAGATGGATGGATGGATTGTAGCTACACTACAGAAATTTAAGTTTTAAACGTTCTTTTAACATTATAAAAATTCAAAAAGCGTTTTTTTTTATTATAGACTCAACAAGTGTGTATGATACAGCGTCTGCTCTTGTATCGCCTTAAGATTATGTCGATAATATCCGTGGGCTTCCTTAATGGGATGTGGGCAGTGTGACGTCACGAGCTTCGTGACAATCTGGTGTGCTTCTAATTATTCTGTATAATAGCCTTGCAGATATAATTAGACAGCACTCCGTTCTGGACTCGTGGAAGCCGTAATTCTAGCTAAATAGGTATACTTAATGTGAAAGGTTAGGTACGTAGTCAGGCACAGGCAACAGATTAGGTAACTGTGTTTGAGTTTTTTTACCTCTTTTTAAATTTCTAACCTTATGGAGACTGTAGTCCTAGTAACACAGCGTCAGGTTTCGATCTATTGTAAGCGTCCCTATGTTACAATTCGCCTCCCAATCAGTATTCTATTTGATAATAGAATTCGAGTTACTTTTGGGGGTGATTTTATGACAAACTTTTTCTGAGACTAGTGGTTTTTATAAGTAACTAAATGAAATGCCTAAAACCCTTTTTGTATTTTGGAAAGAGTTGACCTATAATTTAAGGATGGAAGAATAGAAATCTATTCTATTGTGATTTATTGTGAGGAAAGACAACAGAATTTCTAAGAAGTTATCTTTCCCAACCATTTTCCTGAAATCTATTAGCAGAGCAGCTTCTATGAAACACCCATTAAGTTCAAAGAGGTAATAAAAGGCTACAACGTTTACATCATGGAAAACACGAAAACTTGAACCATTAGGTTTTCAAATCTTTGCCTAGTCGTGTGAGCTGAACCCTGCAGTTCAACTGCGAAACGCCGTTTACGTAGTTTGTGATCTAAGTATCTATGTCACTGTCGCTCATGCTGGCATCTCGCTTTGTGTGAGAGGAATAGAAATATTCGTATTTGGGAGTTGGACCGCTGCTGTCTGACTTAATGCCCCCTACAGGATCTGACATGGCTTGTTTAACAAACACTCTCTGAAGCAGCGGGGTTGCTTCTCTTTCCATCCTTCGCACTTTAACACCCGTATTCACAAACGATGCTTGCTTAAGTGAAGCAGAAAATCGAACGCACAGCGTTGAATAGAGCTCTGTGATTGGTTCGTGTGACACCCTGTGCATCCACGCCCACTGTGAGACCTCATAGTAATGTTTGTGAATACTGGCGTTAGTGTAGTGATGGCATGAGGGAAAGCGAAAGATAGACCCAAAAAATAATAGTAGTCTCGCAGTAACTGAAACCGAATGGTTATTATGTAGTGTACTTGAAATAGAGAACTTACTCCAAGATTGAAATGGAAAGCATCATTAATATTTTATGGACTTCTCAGCTGTTTCTCGAAAAGTAGCACAACATTTTCAGAGTACGGTGAAATGAGAAAAATAATATCCCCAGAATTTTATGGATTTGGATATGGAACTGTGTATCTACAACTTCTGCAAGAGAAACCAATGTGCATAAAATTGAAGAATATTTTATTAATCTTCACGTCTTAAAGACAATCTCCAGAATAGGGTCATGTCCTTTGACGTCACGTGCTGCGGTTAAACGCGTGGTTTACGATATACGAGTAAAGGGAAACGCTGCTGTCTCTAAATGAGATTCTATGTTACTGAAGAATTTCCATGTTGTTATGATAACGGTAATTTAACTGCATATCGTTCAACTTACAATTAGACATTTTGCAAGAAAACCGCTATCTGAAAATTTATCACAACATTTCTTCTCACAAATCACGATGCAATCAAAACACCTTAGTCATCTTGTTACCATTTTAAAAATACGTTACCCACTGACCGGACCTAATTAAGGTGTTAGGTAAACACCGGAGAAACGGGAATCTTCCCGAAATACCCGATCCGGGTTCTACGGCCCTGAACTGGGCCGCGGGATTATGGGATACGGGAGACTGCAACTGTGATGTCACGGGAATATATTAATTCTCTGTAAATTGGCTTTTGTAACGCTCTTTTACACGTGTCGATCACACATGACATAACTTTTTGTAACGTTATACCACAGAATAAGTAATAGTGTTATACGTTACATATTTACATTTACAGGTACTGAATATAAACAGAAATAAGTGCATGCATCAATGGAAACACCAATTAATTGACAGAATTTTCCTTGTTTTCCTTTTCAACCAAAAAAAAATCTCTTCCACTGCTGGACTAGGCCCTTTTTACAAAATAATTGAAATCTTAATTAAAAAAAAATACGTATACTTAGTTTTATTTGTCAATGGATTTAGTTGTAAGGGGTGTAACACATCATTAAAAAAATACATTGTCTTAGAAAGTAAAATTGTATAGCTATAATGTAAAGATAGATTGTGACAGTTATTTATACAATGCATTAAGTGTACAATAATGTTTGTGTTGTTCCAGGATGCCGGCACTGCGGCTGCTGGGGCGCAAATGGCTGGCTGCCTCAGACGACCTGGTGTTCCCGAGCATCTTCGAGCTGATCTTCCGATTCGTATGGTAAGATCATCACCTTCATCAGGTCAATTACGCCCGTATTCACAAACGATGCTTGCTTAAGTGAAGCAGGAAATCAAACGCACAGCGTTGAATAGAGCTCTGTGATTGGTTCGTGTGTCACCGTGTGCGTCTACGCGCACTGTGAGACCTCATAGTAATGTTTGAGAATACGGGCGTTAGTCTCCTCTCCACTACAGGAGCACGAGCTGTCGGTCATACAAGAGGCAAGTGGAGGATTTGGTCTACAGTTCTACACTCTCAACTCTCTCACACTGACCAAATGGATTGTGATCAAGGAACATTTTTTTTTATCCACAACGAGGAAGCTCTTGGCCTGTATCTCACCTGATTAAGACTAAAGCAACAGTCTTCAATACAGAACTCATGTTTTTTTTTACTTTAAGTACTTTTCAATTAAAATAACATAGGAGTCAGTTTGCTCAAGTCATTTATCAAAACTTTAGTAAGTACTTACCTTTTGATCTCGGGGGAAATACGACGTTTCCAACAAAAGTTTATCCACTTAAAAAGAGAATAAAGCGTAAGCACACTCTACGTATGTAGGATTTTAAAAATAGAACATACCATGTGACGTAAAATAGTCACAAAATACTGGCTAGCTGATGAATATTGAGGATGCAAAAAAAAACAAATGCAGATTACATGCAAATCTTGTAGCGTGAAAATCGTTATCGAGCACAAAGCGTGTGCCACCGCGCGTAGTATCATCATTCCTGCTCACCGCGCTTATTTTCACACCAAACGACTTATTTTTAGAAGCCGATGTAATTTCGTTTTTTATAAATCACGAAATTATTGGATGACAAAGTTAGGATGAGTTGCACCATCTTACTTTAACTTTGACATACCTACGTCAAAAATCTGTCAAACTGCTTACAAAAAGCACCGGTTATTGCTACTCGTATTGTTACGGTTTAATTAAGTTGGTGCAACTCAGCCTTACTTAGAATTTTTATGTTTAAAACTTAAAGGTGACCTTACCTGCTATCATTCTTGTGTTAAAAAAAAGAGTTGAAATAAAAACTAGCATTTTCATTTCTCAAAGCAACTTTATTTTTTGACGTCAGTAAAAACAATGTCTGTGTTTTTTACATAACATTCACAACTGGAAAATATACCTAAGCTTAATATTATGTCACTAAAACAAATGAACAAAGAAAATCGATATTATGGTAATCAAATGCTACTAAATAAAACTACAGCAATGGCAACACTTTGCACAAGAACAACAAGGGGCGCTTGCATACATTTAACATAAAATAAAAAGCGCCATGGAGAGTTTCCAGATTACTATTACTTACAGAATAATTGAAATGATTTGTCATGGAATGATTCAAATAAAATATTTTTCACAATAAATAATGTAATTTGTAATGAGAAAAGGCGTGTAATTTAGTTTGGTGTACCTAGTAGATGGCATTGTTATACCATGATGAATGTTTAGATGTAGGTAAGTAAGAGTGAATGAGTGAGTGAGGAATACTAACTATACAATACTTACAAAAAACATTGTTGACCGTATGAATGTGGTTCATACGGTCAACAATGTTTGCTTGCTTGGCTGACAACATTTTAACACCATTTTCATGTTACCAAAATTTTATAACCACAATGTTTGCATCAGAAGTTGTAATGGCAGTTAAAATATTAAGGAAAATTTCTAAAACGTTTGCTGTGAAATACAAAACATGTTTTTATTATAATCCCCGACAAACATTGCACAAACAAACATAATGCTTATAGAAGTCTTTTTATGTAGAAAATGTACATACTTTTGGGATTACGTTGAAAATCTTTAACAATACTCAACGTTGACTCCGACTTTGACCTTCCATGGAACAGCGTCTTATTGTTCGTAAACAAATACCTAGTACTAAGGCAATTAACCAGTTTTATTGCTTATGCGAAATATATAATTAGCTGCTTCTAGAACTCGCTTTAACAATTAAAAAAACTTTATTATTCTCATTCTAAGGGACTGATGACGTCCGAAATTGGTTTAGCCAGAAGTTTTCGTTTGCGATGAAAGTCATAAATATTTTACGTGCAATTATGTCGAGTCTAAGGCTACGGGCCTTTGAATGAATGAATGAATGAATGAATGATTACGTTTGAANCGTTTAAATCGAGTTTTGACATCGTTTGGGCTTAAAACTTTCCTGAAAATATGATAACGTGCTAAAATAAAAATAAAATGTTAATGAAATAGGTACACCTAGGGCTTATGAAATGATTGACATAACGCTAGTTACTTCATCATTGCGACTTCAATATCTTTCTTTATCAATCACCATTAATAAAAATAAAAACTTCAAGAAGGGCTTCTAAAAATAATATTATTTCTTTAATTTTAGATGACGTTGAAGTGTATTTTTCACTACTGAAAAGAACCCCATTAGTACGACGCATACACTTTCTTGCCTCTAAGTAAAATTAAATATTGCTTTGGTTTGTAATTTTGTTTCCAATTCAACGGCCTTGGAAAACAGAACAATAAACGGAAATCCCTGTTAATATCTAATCCCCTGAACCCTTCTCAAGGGATGTTTATTCGTTTAAAATTCTTGTCAACTCGTTTCTCTTATTCGCGCGTATTTTATTTATTCTTGTTTAGTACTTAAACAAATTTCAAGTGCTCAGTTTTATTAAGGCCGTAAGTGTATTGATTATTGATTTCATCGTCAAGGTCATAGCTGGTGGTATAACGTTAACTTAATTAATAGGTAATCCTACACGAGTACATGCATTACACTCTCATCAGCAAAAAGGTTATAAGTAGAGTAGCGCTTTAAAAGCTTTCGTATCACTTGTTGCTGCATTAATATGAATGAACTTTCGCTCCGATATCGATGGCCATTTGGAGAGTGACCTTCGCCTGCTGCAAATCGGCTGATTGCTCCATAATGGCTTTTAAATTGTCCCCTTCATCATCGCTTTGATTGCCTACATTGCTACAGTTGCCGACTGAGAATTTACCTACCGTTTGCTGCCAATGTTGACTTAGGCTAAACGGCTATTTCCATCTAATAAGTTTTAAGGATCCAAATAAATAGTCCACTTTGGACAAGCAAATTGAATTTAGTACTAAACTAACGTAGGACATCCCTTTGAAGTAGGTAGGTATGTTTATTTTTGTGTGTGTAAATGTAATAGAAATAGTTTAAATTATTCAAAGTCTTATTTAAATTTTGAGGTCAAAGAATTTATCACCTAACCACAAGCTAACTCTCTTTTACTACTTTTATTGTGACTAGGGTTTCCAGTACCTCTATGACGAAAAACTTTCGAGTTCGTTTCGTTTGCGTATTCAAAGTGCCATCGAAAAATTTTGTATGAAAAATTAAACAGCGCCCCCTAGGGCGGCTATAATATAGGGGGCGCAGATGTCCGGTATTTAAGCGTACAGTCCGGTATTTTCGAGGCCTGTCCATTAAAAGTAAAGTAGGAAGTAGGATTTTTAGCACCAGGGATTCTAAGTAGTCACAATTAGGGTCAAACATCATAGAAACAACAACAACCACCCACCCCCTCGATAATTTTATATAACTGCTTATTTCATCAACAGGCTGGTGCTAATAGCGCTAGTGGTGGAAGTGCTCTACCCAGTGACATGGCAGTGCCGGTCCGAGGGCTGGCACGGCGGCTCCTTCGTGCGGCTGTATCTGTGCGGCACACTGGCTCTACAGGCGGCTCTTATGCTGCTTTTGGCTGCATTAGCGCAGCAGTCCGCCAGAGGCACCATCACAGACGTCGACTCGAGAAGACTCGTGTCACCGCTGCTTCTTTTCAAGTGAGTATAGGATAAAACTTGTCAGTACAGTGACAAACGAAAAATGGGATCAACATTAGTATGTAATGGCGCATCCACACATGCCGGGCGGCACGGCCGGCGGCCAACCCGACAGCCAACCCGGCGGCCAAGACGGCACACTGGCAACCCGGCGGCATGTGTGGACACATAATACAGCACGCAGTGCCTTTATGGTACCAGACGTAACTTGCAATGTAACTTATTAATTATTTTTAAAGACGTTGGTTCGTATAAAAACCCTAAATATAAAAATAAGCGGAGCCTTCATAATCAGAAATTTAATTTTAGCTTTTATGGTACTATTAATACTCGTAGCTTTCTTTTATGAGTTTGCGAGATTGCTAAATCAAAATATCTCAATTCCAGGCGAGCTACTTATTTAACTTGCAATAACTTAACATGCAAATGAGTATATTTATGCTCATTAATTGTAATTCTTTCTAACGATTGCCTATAATAATATGACTTATATTATCCAATAGCATTATACATATAGTAGCTCCATAACCGACAATATTAAACCAATGACAAATCTGTGTCGGCATTTTATGTAAGTTGAGTGTAGGTAAACATCATTACAGTTTTTTTTTGTAGCTCTTATTTTTATCATGATATTATTTGACAATGCTTACAACAAGCCCCAAATAGGTATTGTTTGGGTTTGACATGCGATACACATAAAATAATTCCACCGCATTCACTAATTGGAATGTACGTACGGCGACTAATTACCTACCTGGTTTAATTGGGACAAACTTTTTTGGTAGCTCGTATAAATTATTTACTGCAAAGAGTTTTAGTATTGATAATCGGATAATTGGGTGTTTATGAATCAAATAACAGTTAGGCACGATAATTAATGTTTCTTGTTTTATTTGGTCACTATTGCTTACTTTTATAACATCAAGAAAAAGCACGCTTACTTAGCGTTACTCAAAATAATACAAAATCGAGTTAAATGCAAATATCGCGTCAAAAATTTTGAGAATCTAGGTATTTCAAATTAGTTTTAACTGATGACGGCTTCAAAGCAACTTAAAAGCTTATTCTAGATACCTTAAGGTAAGCAAGAATGAAATTTGAAGGAATAAGGGACAACAAAGTGAAGTGTATTTCTCCGTTGTGAGAGAGTTGTCCAGCAGTGGATGTCATTTAGCTGAAACAAACGAACAAAGTTAACTCTTCATTTGTTCTCCAGGGTGCTGCTGGTGATGCCTGAGATGGGGCTGAATGTCATGGGCACCATGTGGATGTTCTGCGAGGTTATCGACTGCTCTGTTGAGGACCGTTTCTCCAGCATAGTTATACAAAGTAAGTTTTATCAATTCCTTAACACCCGTATTCACAATCGATTGCTTAAGTGAAGCAGCAAATCGAACGCATAGCGTAAAATAGAGCTCTATGATTGGTTCGTGTGTCACCCTGTGTGTCCACGCGTACTGTGAGACTTCATAATAATGTTTGTGAATAAGGGCGTAATTTCTTGAAATTAGTTATTTGATATCCCATTAGCCCTACCAAGTGGCAAAATATATGCTTTTGTTTAAAATGGGTTCTACCACAGTTTCAGCGCTATACGAGGGTCGAATTAGCGATCCTCGGATTGGACAATAAGATGCCGAAACCGTTGGGCTATTGTATTGTGGCGTATCTTCATTATCATTGGTTACATTTACGTAACTCTTTAATGTGCTGATAAAATGAACTGAGTTTAATTAATTACTTAGAAGGTTTCTCCTGTACTACGTTTAATTTAAATTAAAAAAAATAAAAAACAAGCATGCCTAAAATACATTAACAAAACACATGCCCATGAAGCAAAAAAAAATGTATTAGAGCTTATTAAATGGTGATATGAAGTCAAGAATGTACACATTGAATCTTTAATACTATTAAAGACCAGCTGTGCCCGCGACTTCGTATGCATGAAAATTGTTTTCCTGAAGAAGGACTTAGTAATCGAGATTGCTTGGAATCCTGGATTACCTTCTAATTAACCAAATCCTCTCATTTAAATAGGATTTAGAAGGGTCAGCTACATGTAAAGGATCTTTATTTTTAGTCGAAGTAAAATGTTGCCTTTATTTTGAGTTACGCAATATGTAATCAGTTATTGTAAGTAAAATAAGCTTGATACTTTATGAAAGCTATTTTTAGATACTGTATTTGTATGCCCAACAGTGCCTTATACCTACTACACTCTACAATATTAGCTTCTTTATTGACATAATTTAAAGATGTTGTCTTGGCTAGGTATGGAGAAAGAAATATTGAAGTCTGAAATGTACCTACTGATTTTGGAATAAATTACCATCAGTATCACCGATAAAGTTCCAAGTCGCTTAAGTTCTTTAAGCAAAACTGCTATATCATTTTGGAGCAGTAAAGAATAAATCTTAGTTACCTACTTAGTTTAACTTAGATTACTTATCCATTCTAGAAATGGATGGCTCACTTAAGCACATTACGTCTCATAAGGAGCTTCAAAAACTCATCTTAATAAATTGTTTAACGTATACAAAGCCTTATTTAGGCTTTAATTATATAAGAACCGTGATTTTACTAGATAAATAAAATATGTAATATGTCAACGTGAAATTGTGAACTCTGTCAGTTTATAACATAACGCGTTAGATTGTAAACTAACAGTGGGTTAGGTTAGATTGTAATTTAACTACGTCAGATTATAATCTGACGGAATTCACAATTTTACGGTGACATAATTATATAAATAAAATTTACAACTAGGGTGGGTGTACCTGTAACAAACCGAATAAGCGACATTTCAAAAGTAATTTTGATATTGTGACTCAATTATTACAACAATAATTGCAAAAAACTACTCCTTGTCTATCATAGAATCAAGTAGCTTATTCCAATTTTCTTAATAGCTGTAAGGTTTATTTTTATTTAACAATCAATTTGGAAAGTTGCAATGTGCCTAAGGTTGACCAGATCGTACAAGTCGTGTTTGTCGCTTTTATTTATGACTAATTATTGGTAGAAGTACGGCAGTGCTACCAAACGTAACAAAAGTGGCGGGAAATTCGACAGATTGTTAATATTTTGATGTGAAATTAGAAATGGTGTACTACAGGTTCCTGGTGTGGGACTGGTGCACCCACCCTACATAGAAACACATTTTTCTATGGTGCAGGGATCGCTTTACTACTAAAATGACTAACCACCAGGCCAAGCAGTCTTATTTCTCATATAAATGGTTGAAGTGTGTGGAAGCTATAAAGAACTGCAATCACTTACATAAGTATAAGTACACACACACTTAAGTTACATAAGCTGTCATCAAGCCAGTCATTCATGCTCCATGGTTTTGCTAGCAGTTCAATCGGTTTTTCCCCATTAATGTCTCCACGATCGATTTAACATGTCGCACAAGGCTTAATACTCACTCGTGGACGTAATTATATCGACTGACATTTCATTAAAATGATAATTAAAGAAATATTAATTGAAAATGTTATTAAATTTTCAATTATATATCTTAATGAATAATAAACGTAATGTTTCATGGAAACATTTTCCCTTGGGAATATATTCCTTTCAAATGTTAGTGTCAATAAACGTATTTAGTTGGTTCTATAAACTCTACTTCAAATAATAGAGATTAGAGGCATAAACTAAACCATGATAGAAGCTCGGCAAGTAACAATAAACAGGAAATATGTACTAATTAGCGCTGCAAAGTTTTGTAGAGTAAGTTGAGCATTGTTCGCCGCTCGGCTTAGTTCGCGAACAATGCACGGCCCATGTCTGATAAACAACTATTCAATATTTGCTCACTAACTACACGAGTTTCGAGTTCATAATAGGTATTGATCTTCTACGAATACCGTTTTTAACCGATTCGACTGTATTTTGACCCCCGGTTTCTGATTTGAGATTTTCAGCTTGAACCTATAAGTACAAGGCAAAGTTCATACTTAAGTACCTACTTATGTTAAGTGCACGTTTTGAATTGGTTTTATGTTTTTGTGATTTAGGTAATACCTAACATTTTCCGAGACGCTGAAAAGTGTATAGTTTGTGACTGGTTATTTTGCATAAAGGGTCAAATTGTAACGCTTGTTTGTGACATTGACGTAAATTGAGTAGCGGTTTTGTGCCAAGTCAAAGGGTTCGGGCTCTACCTACTTTAGCTATATAGCAACAAACGTTTCTGTAAGATAGCGTTAAATATTTATTAAGACAGTAACTATGGTGTTTATAGATTAATTGTATTAATTATTTTTAACTCGAATAATGTTGCTGTATTGTACGACTAGTATCTAATATCTATCTAGACAAGACTATCAATATTACTTTGTTCTAGGTATTGAATTTAGCATTATTAAAACACATGTTATTTTTTTATTAATAAGTATTTGTAACATGATTTTCACCTTCAAAATATTGAGAAAACGTTAGAGTTTGAATCAGTTATTTTATTTCCACAGATCTTAATCCTCCTTGGCTGCGCGACACTGGCCACTAAGAAAAACTTAATTCTTTCTTGACGACCAACATCGATGCTCTTTTGTTTTCTCGCGATGTTTCTTCCACGACTTGATTTTGTATTCTTTGTCGGAGTAATTTTATTCTTGATTTTGAATTCTTTTGTAATCTGAGTATTAGGTAATTCACAATACGAAATCCTGAAGCACGTGACACATATTTAATCCCAAGTCACTACAGATTCCATTAATTAATACAATTCAAGTATTTGTAACATTCGAGTATTCGCCTGGCAACAGAAAGTCTACAAGACCTATTAGAGGGATAAAAATATTTAACTGGAAAAAATTATATCTATGTGAAACCCGTTCAATCATTTTCGAACTTTTATACACGTGCCTACACCATTCCTTATTCGTGGACTCGTCACCATTCCTTATGGAGTATTTTATAATATTTTTTTCGTAGTCAATGATATCAAATCACCAGCATGCATCCATTTATAAACGCCCGAAGGCATAAGGTTTAGTTTCAAACGAGCTTCCTTTGCAACAAACAAACTATCACATTTCTAGTGTTTATTTGTAACAATATCCTTCTCAGAAAGCATAATTGATTTGTGATTCCAAAAATAGATCGTAGCTTAGCGGTAGTTAAACGACTTTTGTCCATTAATTAACCTTACATTAATGGATCTTTAAACAGTAATTAAACCGTAACTGGAGTAGGTCTACTGAAATAGAATTTAACATTAATAAATGCTGAAAAACTAAAGAATTTCATTTCTTGCTATCGGAGTTCCTGTGTTCGATACCTAAGTAGATAGGATAAAATAGATTTCTAGATAGATAAGGTAAGCGTAACACGCAATATAACAAGGCTTACTATAAAATAACAACAAATAAATACGTCTCGGTAATCGTAGCGTAGGACGCTCATTTACTCAATGGACGACAGAGATTGGGCTTTGTGGTGTTCCTTCTAGGAGGAAACTTAGGTACAGCAGTAAAATGATGATACGATGACGTAATATAAAACATAATTACTCTTACTTACTTTTTATGAGAACTTACCAACCTATTTGTCCCCAGGTATAGTCCTGTTCAACTGGGTCCAGCTAGCCCTAACCGTGTTTGGCCTCTTCATGGTCTTCGACCCCCTGGGCTCCGTCCGGTACGGGGACATGCAGGACACCCCCAACCAGGTGCGACACCACAAGAAGGTCACCGGCCTCTGGTCGAGGCGGTTCCGATGGGCCTTCTGCTGGCTGAAGAGGGATGAGCACGGGAAAGAAGCTTTTCAGCAGGTCGCAGGTAATTATTTGTATAACAGAACTATGTTTAGGGTATTCCCATTTTTCCCCGAAAGGCTTCACCAGAATGTAACAAAAGTGTGATTTTTACGCTCAAAGACCGAAAATGGTCATTGATCCAAAAAAAAATTGTTTGATTCGTATGTAAACGTTCACTCGTTGTATCAAAGCAAAACCATGATGCGTTCAGCACTAGTTGGTATAAGGTATAAGTAACTGTATCATTACGGACTAATTGTAACAGTCGGCAGGTCGATTGTATTTTTTTAACCTACAACAGCTTAGACTGCATTTCTCGCCTGATGGAGAGTGATGATGAGGCCAAGGGTATAAAGCGAACTCCAGATTATTTCAGGAATGTTTTCTTTTATATATTTTTAATTAAAAATAGAATCAGTGGCCTCCAAAGTAATACGGACTAAAGCATCCAATGTTTGTGCTTTTAAGAATCCTGCTAAGAGGATGAAATATTTGCTCTAAACATGCAATTCCTTTTATTTAACCACAACCGCCTTTTAATGGCAAAGAAATGTCGATATCAACCCTGATGTCATAGACATAAAGTACAAAATGCAGAAAATAAAATGTGCTCACAGATACGATTTTATTTATCCGCTTTGTAAATAAATCTACGGAACTGAGCGGTTTCCTTTCACAAATCCCATCGCGTAACTATTGTCGTGGTCGATGAGGAAAATGCTATGATTTTTAAGCATAAAAATGCACAATAGATGGTAAAGTCAAAGTTAGTCTCTGCCAAATAATAATATGTATATTTAGGTTTACTTTAACCAGACAAACTTTATGATAAAAAACAGGCCATTCAGAGAACACTACTTTTGCAGTTGGTACAGTAACTTAAATAGTAAAGCACTTAATATATCGGATCGACATTCGAAATTGGTATTGAAAATTGACACTAAAATTCAATATGCATGCATAATGCATAGTTTTAACTCTACGTTGTGACTTTGTTATAATAATGCAGTCTACACACCAAACCCGCCGACATGAGTCATCGATATGAAGTTTCTTTTGAGATAAAGCCGCCGGGTTGTTGGCAGGCTTGGTATGTAGAGGATTCCATAAGTAAACAGAAAAATACATAACTAAAGTAATAAATATTATTGACGGGATTGCTACCTTGTACCTTAATTTCGAGTTTCCGATATTTCGGCACTGTTGCAAGCGCCGTGGTCAATAATATTATTATGTTAGTGACCATGAAAGTTTAAAACAATATACATACATACATACCTACCTACCTAATGTGATTTCTCTCCGCAATAATTTTAAACACCGAAGCCTTTAATCTGTTTAACCCAACCATGCACCTAATCTAATGTTATGTGCATAACCAAGTAAATTGGAACTTTGTTAAAAGCACTTCAGATGCATTAGATCCCGTTCGCCCACGCTCCAGACTGATACTCGACTGATTATTAGATTCCTATGAGTGACATGACTATGTAGAGATTTTTTAATATACGGTGTCATTTTTTAATTCTAATACATACTTATATATCTATCTATCTATATATTTGTTAGGTGACGTCTTCTGCCTATAAAATATCTGTGTGCCAGGCCAGGGCGAATCGAGATACAATAGAAACCTTTACCGCGGTATCATAGCCTGTTGAAATTAATATACATTTTTATAAAATGTAAGTATAAAAATCAGCTGCTAAGTCTGAGCCTTTGTGCAATTTAATTACACATTGTATAATGTTCTACAACCTTCAGTAGAGGTTACAGTGTTTCAAAGTTGAGAACTAAGTAAATTAGGGGCTGTTAAATGCGCTAGTTGCATTAATCCCGCCCACGCTCGCCGGAGTGTTTATTAGATTGCCTCCAAGTGATACGACATATGGAAGCTGCCTACGCTGCATGAATATGCTCGTGGATGTAATAATGTAATAATATGTTATACAAGATACAAGTATTCTACTATGAACATCTAAATTTATATTACATTAAACAATGGGAAATAAGATGTTTTGAAAAATTTGCTGAAGGCTCTAAAAACTATTTTTTCAGCAGGCAGGAAATTTATTAATAATCTATAATTATTTCGTTGAAAAATATGCAGATAGAATTTGAAAGGCTTTGCTGAAGGCAACAAAAAAGGATTTTCAAACAGGTAATTAATACGTTACACGTGCATGTGACGGCCATTACATTCAATTATAGGATTACCTTAAGCAATCTAGATAGGAGTTAAATGAAAATGAAAAATGAAAATATTTATTGCCAGATTAACTAGTACAAAACAAAAGATATCGAATGTAACGGTCAAAGATCAATACCAACTGTAACGTAATATTTTTCTAGAAAATGCAAACAATCTTTTTGTGCCGTCTCGGCGAGGCTTCGTTCCATGTGTGATGTACAGTTGACAGCACGTTAGACTACATATTTCTGCGGCAAAATGGCATCTATTAACAAGTACATAAAACCACAAAAAATGGTGCACTATATGCACACGTTTGGAGGGTTTACACACGTGTTGTAGAGACTATGCCAGAGATGAACACTCATTTTTCCTCTGCTATTTCATAATAACAATAATTTTCTTGTATAGCCGCTAGAGACCATTACTTTTTATGCAAGTTGTGTTTATAATTGAGATGTAATGCCTCGAAAGCGCAATTTGTTTTATATTTTTGAATTACTTATGAATTCCTAAGATTCCAACTTTAAGATAAAGTTGCTGAAAGTATTTAGAAAAACTTGAGACCCTTTTTGCTAATGAAAGTAAAAAAATCTCATGTTTTTGTTATTTAGGAACCTCAGAACTGAAGTTGGGTGATAAAACCTTGAAGAAAGAACTTAAGTATTCTACGAGTACCTACTTACGACAATGCACAAGACTATCAAAAGTTTGAACAAAAGTTTCGATGGATTTTCAAACGGCAGTTTCAATATTTCCTCGACATCGTCTGCAATCATGAATTATAATCCTTGTTCTGTTAACACTTTAAAACCGATAAGGATATTATTCAAATCCATAACTATGACAATTATAACTTCATAACTTACGACGAGCTCGTTTTCATGCTCTACAGAGTATACAGTGTGTGGTTAGTGATGTGAAAAATATTCGTATTCGCTAAAATTTCATATCTTGATATTCGTCTTGTTCTCTTGCACGCCAATTCCAAGATTTTAATTTGAAAGTAGGATGTAAAATCAAAAGAGACGTTCGCCTTTTCGAAACACCTACATAACATTGTCTTGAAAAATACTTTTTGATAAAACGTGCGTCATATTTTTCAGCATTTTCGACAAGATAGGATAATAATAAAGCATGTTCGTATAATTAATTTATTATTATCTATCTTTTTATGTATTTTTATTTTAAGAAATCCTATTGCTGCTGTAACCTGCCACCTTATAGCCTATGTCACTCTTGCGTATAATGTTTGATAAAGTTCAGAAAGAATCTGATATTAGTTTGTTACATTCGTTGAACAGAATCAGCTTTTCGTTAAGGTCAAAGTGGTATTGTGATAAAAACCTTTTCGTGTTCGTTAAAGTACTCGTAGTATCCGACATCACTACCGTAGTGGTGGCAGCCTTCCTCTCGTCTATCAAGTTACACCCAGCGGGGTGCGAAATTGTTGAGATCCGTATCCGACGAGTTGAAAACACAGTAGATATATGAGCTAAAGCAGTACGGAAACTTAGCCCTTTCGGCGAGTTAAATACCTACACTTCAACTGAGTGTTAGGGTTGGCACTCTTAATCTTTATAAAATTAATAAGGTTCTGACTTACTTATTTATTAAAACGTTTATTTAGGTTTTTTAATTATCAAATACCTAATGGAATACATTAATTGACTAAGTAGTTAACAAAAAAATAAAACGTTAATTAGGTTCTATAATGATCGAATACATAATCGAATAAATTGATTAAGTACTATTAGAGGCCGGTAGAAGATATTCTATTCTCATAAATAAAATACCGGATACTTACTTTCACATAGCTATTGCCTCATTTTAAATACAGTTCATCACTTAGTACAAAAGCGCGCGGAGCAAATTACATTATCAAATAGAACACANAGTATTAATGATTCTATTTATAAGTTTTGGTTCATACTTTATATAAGTTAATTAGTTTTATTACGTAAATGTAACGAACAAAGTTTATAAAGTATCTAGCACAGAATCAAGCCTATGAATGAATGATATTAAAATTTAATAGATCACAATACTTCAATGATTTTTGGATTCGTTGTGATTTGTAGCACTGCGACTTTTTGCAGTCATTTTTACCTATGCGCTTTTAACAGCCCTAAATAAAAGGCTTTAATAATAATCAAGTTTTATAATGGTCCATCGATTGTTTATTTTTATTTTTTATTTACAATATTTTTCTATTGTTACAGCTCTCCTCAGCGCACTGTTCCGATCAACCGACCTAGTCCCTTCAGACGTGGTCGCCGGCTGCGTTCTCTTACGAGTGCGGCAGAAGCGGGAAACCCGAGAGATGCGGCGCATCCAAATGCTCAATGACGAGGAACCGATCTATACCACAGATGTGAACAAAGTCTTCTCGGAGACTCCCCCTTGGATGAACCTGGAGGACGCTCTACACTACTTGAGGCTGTCCATAGCAGCGTACGGCTGGCCGTATGTGTTGTACCGACACTGCTTCACTGGATTCTGCAAATTGGCGCGCCATTTGACGTGTTGTTGCTGTCGGTAAGTTTCGCACTTACTTATATACTTTTACTTTACGCTAGAAGTATTTTGTGTTGAAAATATGAGAACTTGATGGGCTGCTTGAAACTCTGGGAGAACAGACAAATGGGTGAACAAAATAAAACATACACTCAAATTGAAAAGCTCCACCTTTTATTGAAGTCGGTTATAAAAGTGAAATAATTTTTCATTTCGAAATACGAAACCGTGTGAAATTCAAGCGATTCTGTAACTTTCTTTTTTCATTTGGAAATACACCATGTAAAACAAGGTTGTAACTTACATACCAAAGCTTAATGAATGATATTATGGCTACATCCACCAAGACATTTTCGAAGAAATAACAGCACAAACCTTCAATTTTGGCCCATTTTCAACTGGTTTATATTAACTTAAGCCCACACAAGGTAAAACACACCCGTCTGTGTGTGGTAAACCTTGATGAGAATTGTCCCTGCGACGACCAAACCTCTCAAACGTGGAAGCACCTATTAACACAATGTCCCCGTTTTGTAATACAANAAACCTTGCAAATGTCTTCATTAGACAGTCTGTAGCGGTAAGGTATAATTTTAATGTCCCGTTCGTATGACCTACATTTATGCTTGGTTGGATTCGGAAATAAATTGACAAGACTAAAGCTGAGTGTACACTGGTACACACTACATTTATTAGGCACAATTCCGGCTTACTTTAGGAATATTTGGTGCGGTTAGTAATTTTGACACCTTTCTATTTGTGACTTGGGCCAAATTCATTTTGTGTAGACAGTAGGTACATAAAATTTATTGCTACTCGAAGAAAGGTAGCTTTTAAGTTATGACTTAAAGTGGACGTGTAATATCTTGAATTTAAAAGAGCATGGTAACTACTTAAGTAGGTATTCCAAAATATACTTACTTATCGTAGGTGGTACTTAGGTACTTAAATAAATTTTACGCTCTACCTAGTTCTAGTTAGATGAATTTATTTATAGCTTCGTTCTTTGAGGGAACTGAGTGGGTTTTCTTATATCCAAATAAGTTCATATGCGTATTTCAGTTCAGAATAATTTTAAAAATAAGTCGCAAGCATCTTTAGTATTCTAGTCATGTCGCAATCAAAAATATGTAGCAATGCGTAAATTCTGAACAAGATTCATTACAATCTTATTACGATAAAATAAATTACTTATCTAAGACTTAATGTATGTATGTTTAATAATCTTTATGCCTTGTTATGCATAAAAAAAAACAAAAAATGTTACGGACCTCCTTCGATTACTCCAATAACGTAAGTTCCAATAAAGTTAATTGCAATAAACGATTTCTTGCCGTAGAAACGGTTTAAGCACATCAGACTAACTTTTTGTTGCAAAATCGCTCCTAATACTATGGCCTTAAGATCCTACAATGTTCAGGATTATGTGCCGTTGCCTGTACGCTAACATCCTAACAGGAGTTACGACGTTGAAGTCTGTGTTCTGTGCAACATTTTGTATTAGGCGGCTGGAATTTAATATAAGGCTCACACGTACAGTGGAAATGTACATTGTCAAGTCATCTTAGTACAATGTATCTAATATAAGTATTAGTACTTGGCTTGATATTGCGCTAAGCTCTTGTATTACATTTGCACGAAATAAACTTGTTTTGCTAGCAGATATGTAAAAGAACAAAACACCGCGATCGCAAATAATGAATTANAGTCGGTTGATAACATAAAACCGAAATCTTTATAAGTAATAAATACATTCACGTAAACTGAAATTGTAGGTAGGTATGTTACGTTGTCAAAATAGACTCTGAACAATAAAGAGCTACTGGATTGTTATTAAACATTGCTAGTCATACATTAATTACGATGATTGGTTTGTTGCGACATTGACAAGCCGAACTACAATAATATTTATGTTTGAAATAATAAGTAGGAAGACTTGTTACTTGTAAAGAAATGTTTAACAAATATTACACTGTTGCTCGTAACAAATCAAGTTAATTAATTTTAAATACAGCGATAGAAATAAATAAATTATAGGTAGTACCTAGTATAAAATTACTTGTCCTAGAATCGTTCTCTAAAACTGCGTCACTTTATGTTAATCTTCACTCAGTTTCACCTCAATGAAATTGTTAAAGTTTTATTGATCTGTTGAGCTAGACTTTTGAAAAGTTGAAAACTAGCCTAGATCTTTCTTCAATTGGTCATCATTTAGGAACCTAATGTATTAAGTTCTTTAGCTGGAAATAAAGATTTGCCTTTTTCAGACTTGTACTTAGTTCCCTGAACAGTTACAGTGCGCTTACCATGAGTTTACGTTAGGTGTGCTCGCTAGCGACTGCGTAAAAAAATGACATTAATTGTATGACATATTGTGCAGCGCCCCTAGCGGCTACTTTCAACAAACAAAATCTTCATAGAGATTTTTGACGTACTCGCTAGCGAGCACACCTAACGTAAACTCATGGTAGGTACACAGACCTATCCTCTAACGTTCACCAGTCAATTGACCTTCCTAGTTTTTACAGTCTATCAAAACACAATCCACTTGTTCACCAACTCATTGGACTTGTACCTAATTGACGAGAAGTCGGAATTATTGGTTCATGGTGTCAACTACTCAATTGGTAGAGAGATACGCATTAATATGTAAATACGAAAATTCGTTTATTTTTCTGTTTGGGATGCGGACATGTTGTAGGATATCCCTACACTGATTTTCAACAGGAAGCCCTATCGCTTGCGCATCCCAGACAGAAAAATAAACGTATTTGCGTATACAATTTTTCTGTCTTACGTAGGCTAAAACTGAGCGAGCGCCCTATCGTCATGCATTCAATTTTTTCATTAAATTTATTATTATTATTTTGGACAGGCCAAAGAACTCCATCGTGACGGACGACAACTGCTGCCTCTGCAACTTCGCTGGTGTCAAGTACATGTCCAAACTCCCCGCCGATGACATCATCTTTGCCTCCTTCAACAACCGGGTTTTTGAGGTGCGTTTCATAATTTTAATCTATCTTTAAACTTAGGTATTCCTTCAACAGATATAACAGAAGCTCTATGGACATAACATCCTAATACTTGCGAACCTGTGCATAGCAAATGTACTTCATGTTTTACTTAGTTGTGTCTAGGACCTCTGTAGGTATAGGTACCGACTAGAGAGGCTTTTGACAATAAAATATAGCTTCTATTTGTAAAATTTAATTAGTATTTAAGTCCACAGGTGGCATGGACCACTTGTTTTGAGCATGCCGCTATTAGAATCTGTCCCATGAACCTATTTCTTTGTCATTAATGCCACCATTCTTCGTCAACATTAGTAACCCTTTAAGATGAGGTATAATGGAGGCCTTTCATTAGATTTTTGAATTGCTTTTCCCATGCCATGTGACTACTTTTTAAGTAGTTTCAAGACTTTAAATTCATAGACGAAGTCCGGTCGAAGCTGTCGGTTACTTCACAAGTTACAGGCAACTTGTGTAATACATTATGTCGGCACTTGAGCCACTTAAGCGTCCGTGAACTCGCCCTCGGCTAATATTTAAACATAAATCCGAAGTTATACAACAAACTAAGTACCCGAGAAACTCGTTAAATTATGTTTACATACTGACGCGTTATTTGAGTTTCGATCGTTTTTGCAATGCGGAAGCGAGCTCAGTGGAAAATAATATAATTTTAAATTTTGCAGGTTGCAGTTTGCTAGCTATAGCCGTGGTTGTAGGCATTGTTAGCTTAGAATCAAGCATAGAGTTCATTAATACTTAATTACATTACAATAAATAGTACTAAAAGTGTCTCTTCGATAAAACAGTTATCGGCATAATTCGCCACACAGTATAGACAAAATTTGAAAAAAAAATTGAGATGGTCGTCGTACAAAGAAGACTAAATGACCTAACGAGGAAGATGATGAATAAATTGATTTGTTTCCAGTTACCATTCTGCGTGATAGCGGACCATGATCGCGAGAGCATCGTAGTTGCTGTTCGTGGCTCCATATCTCTACGGGACATATTCACTGACTTTACGGCGGGATCCGAAAAATTTGAAGCCGATGGTAAGTAGGACGTAAGACCTTGGGGCTATTATGTAGGTATCTTTTTTGTAATGCACATAATAGTTATAAAAATCCCGTTCACTCCTCCAGCTCAGTTATATACCAATGCTTGTGTTAGGGGTGGGTTAGTCACAATAGTTCAAGCAGCGGTCAATCAAACTACCATCGCAACTTAAATAAAATACCTACCTATTTTATTACAATTTTTCAGGCCTACCAGAAGACACGGCAGCACACAAAGGCATGTCAATGGGTGCTGCGAAGATGCTGAAGAGGCTCCTACCGGTGCTAGACCGCGCCTTCCAGCAGTACCCACACTATGACCTGGTGCTCACAGGTCTGTATACCATTTCTTTAAGGAAACAGTTTTGTAAAATTAATCCAAATTAAGAATTTAATCAACCACTCTGGTTAGTGTGGAAAGTTCAAATCCTCCATTTGGCTCTGGTAAAGACAGGGGCCAATCTCCTGCAGTGCAGTGGAATCTAAATCAATAACCCAATGATGATGATGGAAAGTTTAGTATACGAGTAGCTCTATTCTGCTAATACTTCAATGTAAAAGAAACACGAAATTATTACTAGGAATAAATGTACTACATTGTAAAAGATAAGCCGCAGCAGCAGGCTTGTGTTAGTAAAATATTCGGGATATTTATAAGTCGAAACGGACACATACAAAAGCAATGTAATTCACTACGATAAGCCAAGTCTCATTAAAGATGTACAAGTCTAAACGAAGAAACGCTATAATTATTTCCAGGTCACAGTCTGGGCGCAGGTGTGGCAGTCTTAGTGGCGCTCAAGCTCAGGCCGAGGTACCCGCACCTCAAAGTGTTCGCGTTTTCTACCCCAGGTAATCACCCGCATTATGATTATACTTTCTTTTCAGGTTTAGACAAGTAAATTGCTTCTTTTGACGTGGGTAAGCTCTTAAGCTTGCTACGTATGTTTTTATGCTCACTGTACAAGAATATAATATTAATCCAAATATACGAGTAGGTATAATATGACTGTAGGAAAGAATTTCAAGTGGTTTTCGAGATTGTTTGGCATGTTTAATCTCACTTCAATATTGTTTCATTGATGGTGGCATATATTCGATAAATTAATGGAATTTCGCTTCAATAAGCAATTCAATAATCCAATGTTAGTATGGTCATAGACCACTCATAGAGTTGAGGTGAGCATTGCACATTGGTACTTTGATAAACAAGGACTATTTTTCTTTCCAGCGGGTCTAATAAGTCGCGAAGCAGCGAGGTATACCGAGAGCTTCGTGCTGACTGTAGGCGTAGGTGACGACCTCGTGATGCGACTCAGCGTGCACAGCATAGAGAACCTTAGGACGAAGGTCATACAGACCATACACGCAACTAAGTTACCCAAGGTGAGTTGTACAATCCATTTCTAACTTTAAAGTAAGCAAAAACCGTAATCCGTTAACCTCTTTTTATTTTACTAAACCTACAGATATTCATAACTTTGCAGCAAGTTTTATTGGGGACTTCCCACGGGCTTTTTTAATCCATTTTCTTGAGTNTTTTCACTGGGGGTACAGAATTCGCCACCTAGCATGGGGAGTATAGTATAGACAAAAATGAAATGAGAACTAATTCTCTAAAGATGGTCGTGATTTAATGACCTGATGAAGAAGATGATGAATAAATTTATTTAATTCCAGTTACCCTTCTGCGTGATAGCGGACCATGACCGCGAGAGCATCGTAGTTGCTGTTCGCGGCTCCATATCTCTACGGGACATATTCACTGACTTTACGGCGGGATCCGAAAAATTTGAAGCTGATGGTAAGTAGGACGTAAGACCTTGGGGCTATTATGTATCTTTTTTGTAATGTACATAATAGTTATAATAATCCCGTTTACTCCTCGAGCTCAGTTTAATACCTATGCTTGTGTTAGGGGTGGGTTAGTCACAATAGTTCAGCAGCGGTCAATCAAACTACCATTGCAACATAAAATACCTACCTATTTTATTTCAATTTTTCAGGCCTACCAGAAGAAACGGCGGCACACAAAGGCATGTCAATGGGTGCTGCGAAGATGCTGAAGAGGCTCCTGCCGGTGCTAGACCGCGCCTTCCAGCAGTACCCACACTATGACCTAGTGCTCACAGGTCTGTATACTACAATTCAATGAGGAAACAATTTGGTAAAATTTGTCTAAACTACGAATTTCATCAAGCCTCTCCAACCACTCCGGTCAGTGTGGAAAGTTCAAATCCTCCATTTGTCTTTGATAAACACAGGGGCCAATCTCCTGCAGTGCAGTGGAAACTAAATCAATATCCCAATGATGATGATGAAAAGTTTAGTATACGAGTAGCTCTATTCTGCTAATACTGCAATGTAAAAGAAACACGAAATTATTACTAGGAATAAATCTACTACATTGTAAAAGATAAGCCGCAGCAGCAGGCTTGTGTTAGTCAAAAATTCGGGATATTTATAAGTCGAAACTTGAAAAAGCAATGTAATTCACTACGACTAATAAGCCAAGTCTCATTAAAGATGCACAAGTCTAAACGAAGAAACGCTATAATTATTTCCAGGTCACAGTCTGGGCGCAGGTGTGGCAGTCTTAGTGGCGCTCAAGCTCAGGCCGAGGTACCCGCACCTCAAAGTGTTCGCGTTTTCTACCCCAGGTAATCTACCCGCATTATGATTATACTTTCTTTTCAGGTTTAGACAAGTAAATTGCTTCTTTTGACGTGGGTAAGTAAGATCTTAAGCTTGCTACGTGTGTTTTTATCTGTACAAGAATATAACATTAATCTAAATAGGTAGGTATACGAGTAGGAATAATAAGACTGAAAGAATTTTAAGTGGTTTTCGTGACTGTTTAATGTCACTAATGTTGTTTCATTGATGATGGCATAGGTTTCGATAAATTAATGGAATTTCGCTTCAATAAGCAATTCAATAATCCAATGTTAAGGTTCGGCCAAACCAACGCGATCACACGCGATCAGCCGGCGTGCAGCGATGGCAATCAATGCATTTAATTCTGGTCGCCTTCGCTGCACACCGGCTGATCGCATGTAATCGCGTTTGTTTGGCCGAACCTTTAGTATGGTCCTAGACCACTCATAGAGTTGAGGTGAACATTGCACATTGGTACATTGGTACACATATGGACTTTTTTCTTCCAGCGGGTCTAATAAGTCGCGAAGCAGCGAGGTATACCGAGAGCTTCGTACTCACAGTGGGTGTGGGAGACGACCTCGTGATGCGACTCAGTGTGCACAGCATAGAGAACCTTAGGACGAAGGTCATACAGACCATACACGCAACTAAGTTACCCAAGGTGAGTTGTACAATCCGTTTCTAACTTTAAAGTAAGCAAAAACCGTAATTCGTTAACCTCTTTTTATTTTACTAAACCTACAGATATTCATAACTTTGCAGCAAGTTTTATTGGGGATTTCCCACGGGCTTTTTTTAATCCATTTTCTTGAGCNTCTTGAGTGTATTGCCAAGGGTCTACATGTAATCCCTCTTTTCATTAGCCATGCTACAAACGCAATTGGTGTTCTTCAAGGTTCATTACTTAGTCCATTTCTATTTTAGGCATCTCCCAGGAGACAGTAACGTTAAGTCTGTAGCTAACTAAAGTAGTTTAAAGTGTAATTAGACCCTTTTCTAAGAAACGAGGTTTATGCTTATACATACATACACTTACATTTTCTGAAATTAATTAGTTCATCTACTTAGTTCTGAGGTTGATAACACTAACACTACTTGGGTGTCTCCCAAGGGACAATCCTTTGACTATCTCAGGCGTGTCTATTTATATGACCCTTCTTGTTCTAGTACAGTGGGTGTTCTGTAAGAGTCGTTCTTTGGACCATTGTTTCTTTTTTAAGCACCCGTCTTAAGAATCAACCTTTTGCCCTAATGCGTCAGTCTCTTCAAAGTTCCAGTTACTATTGGGTGTCCCGCAAGGGTCGTTCTTTTGACCAGTGTTTCACTTTGTTTAAATATTCTTCTTAGGTGTCTCGCAAGGGTCGTTATTTAGACCAATGACTTAGTATCCTTCTATTTCAGTACCGCATCATGCTGAACGGCTTCGGCTACGCGCTATTCGGGGTTCCAGCTCGCGACTTGGAGTCCACCTGGAGGCGGCCTGAGGACCTGGAGGCCCACCAGTCGGACGACTCAGCAGACGCGCTGCTAGTCCAAAGCGTGTCCACCGTGAGTGCTGTCAGTCGTCTTTCTACTATTAGTGTGCGTGTGCCGCTTGTCACGTCATTCATGTCATGGCCATCATTTTGTGGGTGATTTGGTGCAGTATACAAGATCTTTTGAGCTGAATTAGCTATATTTTTAACTGTCAAATAAAACCAAGAGCGTGCGCGTGTCGTGATGTTTCAAAAACACGTTACGCTTCGCTCACGCTGCACGCACGTTTGACATTTAGATGTGTGCCTCATTTGAAACTTAGAAATGTCATTAACTTCATGTCATGGTGGGCAGCCTGTGTTGTTTTTGTGTTAGCTAGCAAGCTAGATTTAGTTATGCTTTGAGTGTTTATTGATTGATTTGCTTTTATAAAAAAAAATCGAGTATCAATTTGATTCAAAAAAGTAACTACTTTAGTTGAAATCTTAGTTGTAATCTCAAACATTGAGACTAAAACTAAGTCTTTTTTTTTCTTTTAGTGCTTAATTAGCCAAAATACTTAGTACTGTAGCTATAGCAATTATAATGTTTGATACCACTATTATATGTAAGCATTTATTTCACAAAGGTAAGGTTATTAATATGTTTACCTATACCTACTATCATAATAAATTTCATGTGTTTGTGCTTTAATAATAGTATTATGGTCTCAGGATTAACCTTTTAAAGTGACTGCTCTTTTACTAAGCCTCAATCTCAAGTGCGCGACCTACCCAAAAAGATAAACCTAAACATAAGGCGAACGATGTTTCTATCGGTAGGAGGCGGCGGTACTGTCGCGCAACGTATTTGTGTACGCGGCGGTTTGGTCAGCGTGGTAATATTTATTCTTTTCTCTCTGAGAAGTCCAAAGACAGGAGATAACATAGACAAAAGTCAAATGATGTAATTCTATCGTGAGCAGGCGGCGCCACAGTCACAATAGACAGTTTGACACCATACCCGAATAATTCGAAACCACAACAAAAGAGCAAAATGACGATTTGTAAGAACTATTTATTAGTCCAAACAAATAAAGAAATTTTGACTTTTGACTTTGACTTTGACAACTGTTTTAAAGACTCTTCATTCTGGTCTTAAAAACCTAATTTATTTTAAATTACCTGTAAATTTCGATTTTTGTTCGAATTGTAACTGAAAAAAGTAGTTTAATTGGGTTGACAAAATAGTGACGTCATTTGCTTGTGGTGCCATACAAAATCTATGGGAGAGTTTCGTTTTGACAGTTTTAAAAAGTACGTCAATTGACTGTGGTGTCAACATGTCTATTTGCGCGGCGGTTTTCGTGAGCGCGGTGATTGTTCTTCTTCTCTCTATTTTGTCCAAACTCCTAACATAGCAAAGACAAAAAGCGAACGATGTGTTCTATCAACAGGAGGCGGCGCTAGTATCGCGCAACGTGTTCGTGCGGCGATTCTCGTCGGCGCGGCTGTTCACAGCAGGACGAATCCTGCACATCGCGCGGCGCAAGCGCATGGGCATAGAGAAGTAAGTAAAATACAACGCTACAGCTATACTTTCTTATCATACTCGTAGATCTAGCGCTTAACTCAATTCGGCATGGAAGGGGTGCCATTGAAATATTATTATTATGACGTGATTAAACATATAAATCTGAAGTACAGTCACGGAATGAAAAGGTTCGTCACTTTTCAAATTGATTCCTTCAACGAATCGCGAGCACATATTACCTTTAGAAACTATGTTACAGAATAATCTCGAGTTACAGAAAATAATCTTTAACTGATCGTCAGTAAAGTTCAAAATTATTCAGATCAAAGTTGTTTGACGATTTATCTTGTCAAGAAGATTATTGTGATTGATAAACTAAAACCTTCTTGTTGGTTCAACCTGCCATTATTATTTCTATAAAAAAAACTACATTTTGTAACATTGCACTGATGGGATAGAAAAATAAACAAGCAAAACCTTATTCGTTAGCAAACGTCATATTTATTTAAATGTTAGCAGCACTGTTTCTTGCACTGTTATGTTGGCAGGTTTGACTCTTACAGTAGGTACCTAGTGCAAGCGAAAACCGACACTAAGGTGACGAACCTTTTCATTCCGCGACTGTACATTTGAAATCTCGCAGATGTTTGACGTCCCAAAAACCACCTCAAGGGAGGTTCGAGGACGCTCCCATACTTCAGACACTGACTGACTTAAGCGCTAGACCTATAATTACACATTCAGTACAGCCCTGTAGCTATATTTTACTTAGCAATTCAATACTCAATAAGTTTATTGCTTCCTTATTAGTAATATAGGTGTTACAATGTGTTAATACAGATAATTAGGTAATTCTTTTTAACTCTACGTGAATCTTATGCCCGTTTTCACCATCAATCCCCTATTTTAAAGTGACCCCTATGGTAACACATAACAGGAATTTTGTTTTCATAGGGCTCACTTAAAAATTAGGAATTGATGGTGACAACGGGCATTAGTTCTCTTAATTGTTGTTACTCTCTCATTTCCATGTCTAATCAGTAATGAAGCGGATGAAGAAAGGTAAAGTTGTAAATATATAATTTTCGTTGAAATTTTTTATCATGTAGAGCGTGTAAATCCTTAGTATTAGTCTTTATGATGCCGTTAGTGTACAGGTTACAATTAAACCGACTACATACCGTGCATTCTTTTTGAAGTACGGAAACATATCTTTCTAGGCAATCCATTTGATTTAATACAAAAGCGCTAATTAAGAAACAAAAATATTTATTACTCTACCCAAATAAAAATGGAGATTAATTTATATGTTTGTTTACAGGAAAGTGCGCACCCACGAACCAACGTATGAAATGCGGTGGGCGTGTCCTGAAGACTTCATGGAACTGCAGGTCATGCCTCGCATGCTCCTCGACCATCTACCAGAGAACGTGCACCGCACCATACAGACTGTCATAGAGGAACGGCACACGTATCGGATCACGCACGTTGTGTAAATACACGTACACGTACTTTGTGTTTAGTGCAGTGCGAAACAATTGAAACGCAATTGAAACACTAGTGAAACGAATGTGAATGCGTACACGGTTGATTGAGAAGAGACAAATGACATGCGTTGTGAAGACCGCGCTGTGTGTGGATTTAAATAGAAACAAATGACAAGCGTTGTGATGCACATCACTTAAACGTGTCAATTGACACAAAACAATTGAAGATAGTTGATAATATAAAAGAAATACTAGCCAGAAAATATGCACCGCTTTACTTCGAAGACTACACATGGGTTGTAGGATGAAGCATGTTGTAAGTTCACAGTCGCTTCATGACGAATGCATTATGGCAAATTAAAAATGAGTAAAATGACACATCGAAGCTTACTTACACAATATGAAATTGACTGTAATGTAAACCCTAAAACGGTGCGGCAATAATACCTTGGCTAAGTAAATCGATGAAACCAAATAAACGAACTCTTAGAAAATAGGAAATACAGTCCATGACTACAAGAAATTTTCAAAGGCGACATGACGTAACCATCAATCTTTAAATTAAGTTATATTACTTTTAAAGAATATTGTAGTTTACTGTTGTAGTTAATATTAAACCGTTCTAGCAAATGAACGAACAAATCCGAGAGTAATGCCCGTTTACATCATCAATTCCTAATTTTTAAGTAAGCCCTATGACAACAAAATTCATATTATGTGTTAGCATAGGGGTCACTTAAAAATTAGGAATTGATGGTGAAAACGGGCATAAGTTATACATTTTAAGTAACGACTACGACCTAAACACCATCTAATTGTAGAATGGATTTGAATTTTGAATTTATGATCAAGATTCAGTACAAGTTATTGTTTAATTTAATTAAAGTGACCGCACTAGAATTAACACAATTTTAAAAAATGGGTGCTGCCCAAAGTTAACAAATGATCATTTAAGAACACTGACAATGTTTGACGAATCTCCTTATAAATTGAGTTCCTAGTATTATTCTATCGAAGAGAAGTAATAAAAAGACAGTTCAAAATACATACCAGTGGACACAGCAAGTAAAACCAGTATAATTTAGGATGATGTCAATGGTTTACAACACATGTAAGTAATTATGTATTTACGCTATACTTTAAAAGCGTTTTTCGTGTCATTATTACTGATGTGTTCTGCGAAGTATATGACTAAAGATATTTCCCAAAATAAGCTACGTAAAAATAATTGTAAGAGCGACAATGGTGGAGGCGAGTTTTGTCTTAGAATATTTAATTATTTGTATAAAAATAATGTACAGACAGTCATTCAGCTGCTGGCAGTTGATATGACAATAAATATTAATATTTTTGGGTATTTTGACATACAAAAATTTCTGTAATAAACGCCTGATTGTCTATGACGTGACACATACTCAGCTGTAAAATTGTGTTGAAAAAGTAGAGACCTATTCCAGGCGTTTGTGATTTTAATAAAATACACAAAATATAGTAAATACAACTTTCCAAATAACTATTTCTCATAAGATTGCTTACAAATAAATGTGAATCGAGTTGTATTGACCTAACATAGGTAATCTGAGAGCTACTAAGCAGACTCTATGAGGATAAATTCATATTACTTAATTAACATAAAATAATTATAAGAATTGAATCTATTGAAGCATTTATTTTTATAGTTCAAGAACAGTTTCTAATTTGTTTATAAGAGTGAATGCAGCTATGGTGGTGGATTCAACGTTTGAAAGTAAGGAATTGATTTATTTTTAAAATTTTAAATTAGACGTACCTACATTTTACAGATTTGGAATTTTGGATACATATTACTACTTAAATAATGTCATCGGCAAATTTCATTAATTTATCACCTGAGCAACGATCGGAATTCTAGCAAATTACTAAAATGCCTAGACGTGTTACAATTGTCTTTCCCAAACGAAACCAACATGTTAAATGATGACAAAGTAAAAGAATCGTACAATTTGCCAACGACAATAGTACACCCGACAAGAATACACCCCCTCTCTAAAAACCTTTTATGTAATGAACACTCTTTTTACAGACAAAAATAAAAGTTCGGAAATAAAATTTCCCACTACAATTTGTTTATTAAAACACTAGCAATCAATGACAAAATACGTGTCAAATTATTATGTAAAATTAAGTAAGAAATGTGAGAAGACTGTGATGATGTTATAGTATGATTATTGTTAAAGTAAGTGAAATGTTTATGGGCAGTTGAATGTGTTATATGTAAAGTTAAGTATTTTAGCAATTTGTATATAATACATATTAGTTTTAAGTCCTATATTGCTTTAGTTTCTGGGAAACAAAGCAATCACCTCGTCCCAGTGTAAGAGCCCCTACCGACTACAGAGTTTTAACCGTTATTTTAATCGGGCTGTTAATCAGTATGAAACTACGTACGCAGATTACACCGATTTGGTATCGGCCCGTTCCTTATACAAATTAGAAGCCGACCAAAATAACGGCTGATAAAAAAGTTTGTAGTCTACAGGGACTCTACATGTCCACATATCAGCGTACAAACGTTTTAATTCTTCCTCGATAACACCATGACCCCTGTCGTGTTTTCAAAATTACTTTGCTCAATCTTATGCAATTTTCGTTTGACTGGTGTAATTAATACTCATCACGCAATAAAACAATTGAAGTCCTATTTATGCAATATCTAGAAAAAAAAATTTAAAACCTTTTTTGTTAAAATGAATCTCAGTTAAAATTTTACACACAATATTTTGAAAGTACAATTTTACATTACTAAATTTTTAAATTTGACAGATAAATAAACATAATACGCAGTTAGGTTAAAAATGTCTCCTGGCACGCAAACAAAAATATTTTAACTACATTATAATTAGAAATGATATTAAAGTATGGTTCTGTTATAGGTAAAAGTCCACTGGGCCTAAATATATTAGAGTTTAATAAATGTTTTAATAATAAAACAGCGTTTCTTGTTGGGAAGAACTGAAACAGTGAAATCTCAATTTTGATATTCGCAAAAGTAAAAGGTACCTATTTAGTAGGGAATTTAGTGCAATGATTTGTATGGAGACCCCTCCACTTTGGTATAGAAGGCTCATTTTTGCAACAGTGGTTCTTTGGGTGCTCCTGAGTGGATTTCCGTCGGTAGACATCGGGAGCCCCCCCTGTGATAGCAGGGGGAGGGGGGGCAAGTTTCCTTCCGCCGCGCTTCACTTTAAGGCCCATATCTTCAAAACTATGGGTATTAGGGCAAGTGTGGTATCATTTTCGGATAATTAAAGGATGGGCGCGGGCTGTGTGCGCCAGCCTGGTGACGTCACTCACCCGTGGAGTTGCTGGTGAAGCTCTCGTCGCACACGATGGCGTCGTCGAGCTGGCGCGGGCTGTGTGCGCCAGCCTGGTGACGTCACTCACCCGTGGAGTTGCTGGTGAAGCTCTCGTCGCACACGATGGCGTCGTCGAGCTGGCGCGGGCTGTGTGCGCCAGCCTGGTGACGTCACTCACCCGTGGAGTTGCTGGTGAAGCTCTCGTCGCACACGATGGCGTCGTCGAGCTGGCGCGGGCTGTGTGCGCCAGCCTGGTGACGTCACTCACCCGTGGAGTTGCTGGTGAAGCTCTCGTCGCACACGATGGCGTCGTCGAGCTGGCGCGGGCTGTGTGCGCCAGCCTGGTGACGTCACTCACCCGTGGAGTTGCTGGTGAAGCTCTCGTCGCACACGATGGCGTCGTCGAGCTGGCGCGGGCTGTGTGCGCCAGCCTGGTGACGTCACTCACCCGTGGAGTTGCTGGTGAAGCTCTCGTCGCACACGATGGCGTCGTCGAGCTGGCGCGGGCTGTGTGCGCCAGCCTGGTGACGTCACTCACCCGTGGAGTTGCTGGTGAAGCTCTCGTCGCACACGATGGCGTCGTCGAGCTGGCGCGGGCTGTGTGCGCCAGCCTGGTGACGTCACTCACCCGTGGAGTTGCTGGTGAAGCTCTCGTCGCACACGATGGCGTCGTCGAGCTGGCGCGGGCTGTGTGCGCCAGCCTGGTGACGTCACTCACCCGTGGAGTTGCTGGTGAAGCTCTCGTCGCACACGATGGCGTCGTCGAGCTGGCGCGGGCTGTGTGCGCCAGCCTGGTGACGTCACTCACCCGTGGAGTTGCTGGTGAAGCTCTCGTCGCACACGATGGCGTCGTCGAGCTGGCGCGGGCTGTGTGCGCCAGCCTGGTGACGTCACTCACCCGTGGAGTTGCTGGTGAAGCTCTCGTCGCACACGATGGCGTCGTCGAGCTGGCGCGGCGCGGCGCGGCAGCAGCCCTCGGCGCCGCCGGCTGTGTGCGCCAGCCACGCGCTCCACCACTCGGCGCCCACCAGGTACCAGAATTGCCCCACCGAGTAACCCCGCTGGACTTCCCGTCGGAGCCATCCCAGCACTAGAATGGGTGGAGAAAAGACGATGAATTACAGGTTCATATGAAACAGTTAGAGTAGGCGCACACCGTTGATTTTTCGTCGGCCGATAGTTTAGTCGGGCAGTTGATCAGTATGGGCATGTATGGGAATGCGCACATTACGCCGATTCAATTTGGCCGATTCTTCATACAATTTAAAACCGAGCACAACTATCAGCCAACTAAAAATCAAAGGTGTGCGCCTACTCTTAAGATAACAAGGAAGCATTGCAGTATGTCCCTGAAAATTCTGCACCACGACTGAGTCACCAAGGTTCTCGACGCCGAGTCATTGGAGGGTTCAACCAGATTCCGTGCTTTTAAGAGCATTATTTTTTACAACCCAACAGATTTGAAGACGTTTTTGAACCATTCGAAATGTCAATTAATTTGATATTATTTGATCGAAAAGACAAAATAATTTATGAGTCCATCAAATCAAAAGACGTTGACGCAAATTATCGATCTCACGTTACATAAGACTACTCAGAAATAATGGTGAGTGAGCATTTATACACAACTTATTTTACATAATACAAACTCTTCGAATTTTGGAACTAGGCTAGAGATAATTGTAAAAACTAGATGTAGGATAATGGGACAACTCTATTTCAAACGGACTACATTGTCTCAGTCATTACTGATTTTATGAATGCACATTATGAGTGCAGTTAGGGGTGTCAAAATTGATAAAGGTTTATAGAATCGTCATTTTTTTTGTAAAGTGCTTAATAATATGGCGTCACTATTGTATGAGAAGCTGGTACTCCAAGAGACGTTATATGGTCGCCTTTTTATCTAAATAACTTTAAAAAACTAACCTTATATTTCATTTTAGGTCAGTCTAGGTAATCAGTTATGCAAATTACTATTTACGCTGCGTCATCGATACAGATATCGTTTCGATAAACGACGCACCGACGACGATATTCGTTCCAATTACGAGACTAAAGACAAACTTGATTGCCTATAATTACTCAAAAAACTCGAGTATTTTACTAACTGTGCAGATAAGTGCTCAATGAATTTGAACTTTAAGTACATAAAAATAAGGGGTATAAGCTGTATATGTCTCAATAATTCAGTACGAAGGCAAGTGCGATAAGTGATAAGAATTGGCTGCGAACGTATTTGTTGAACTATGTCTTAAAGGACGTTGCACTGTCTTTGCTACGTTGGATTACGAACTGAGAGAAAAATAACATTCCTCCTTGTGATGTGTTATGTAAATATGTACATAGGTATTTATGTCAGTTTTAAGTACTTATATTATTGCGTTTGAAACAAAGTATTTTCAAATAGTAGGTCTCATTTGCCTGTCTATTTTTTAAGTAATCTAACAGTACGTTTTCCTCTTCAACAACATTAATATTTTGGGCGCCATTTTCAATAATTATAGTAATATTGGCATTGCAATACAGACTTAAATAGATCTACTTGATTTCAAGTTGTTTCAGCTAATTATATCAAATATCAGTAGGAAAGTTTCACGTTGATAATGAGGATTTCACTTGTAGACATATCTTCAGGGTTGCCTGTTTTAAAATATCAAAATGACAAGAATTTGACACAGCTGATGTACAATTCTGTTATAAAACCGCTTAATAGATAATACAAACAAGAAAAAACTGCAAAAACAAGTGAAAAGCGATAACACACAAAAAGAAAGTTGAGATATCGTCCATCGTTTTATATTCGCTGATAACGGAGCACAATGCCAAGATAATGCGCTAGATAACTTCGGGCAGCCCTACCACATCCATGTCAAGCTTGTGACACTGGTACACATAGATAATTATGTTTATTCTCGCATTAAAATCAACAGGGCGCTAATTTTAGAACGCCGTAATGGCAGTTTTGCGAAGGTGTTTTTTTAGTTTTAATTGTACAACAAAACGTTTAATTGGGTAGTCTATGCTAGTGTTAGTACTCGTTATTCCGCTAACCTGGCATGCACAGTCACGTTTTTCATTTAAGAAAATGTTTACACTTGAGGTCAGAGGTTGGGATTGAATTCATACGGATACAAAACAATACATTTTAATAGGTGTTTCTCTTACAATGGATTAACTTCAACAGTCTTGACTAGAATCATTTTATCAATCTAACCAACAGTAAGTGCTTGGCCAGGCTGCATACGCGAGCGCGGCACGTTGTATTCAAACATGTGAAATCTTATTCGAGTGTCCATAGCGGCGCACGTGCACGTTTCATTTGTTTGACGCAACGCACCGCGGTCGCCTCGTGTTTATGTATGCAGCCTGGCCAAGCACTTATGGTTCGGCCAAACCAACGCGATCAGCCGGCGTGCAGCGATGGCGACCAGACTTAAATGCATTGATCGCCATCGCTGCACGCCGGCTGATTGCGTTGGTTTGGCCGAACCTTTAGGCGGGTTTTAGAACCGCGCTGAGAACTCGCTGATTGTCAGCGCTAACAGATCATATGACCAAAATGTATGTCATTAAAGGAAACATTCCCGAGCTGATCGCTAGGAGCCGACGTAGGATACATTTCGGCTGTCAGCGCCGACGATCAGCGTGTGTCAGCGTGATTCTAAGGCGGGTTTTAGAATCGCGCTGACTGCTCGCTGATCGTCGGCGCTGACAGATCAATATGTATGTAATTGAAGGGAACGTTCCTGAGTGACGCTGATCGCTCGGCGCCGACGCTTCATACATTTCGGCTGTCAGTGCCGACGATCAGCGTGCGTCAGCGCGATTCTAATACCAGCCTTAGACCTTGAACCACGCTATAAGGGAGGGTCTAACAAGACCTAACTCACTCTTATGAGGAGTCCTCCTGCAGAGCCTCCTCACACTCACCGATGTCCCTCTCCTGGTGCTTGCACTGCGGCCGGAGTCCCAGCACAATGTGGCACACCTCGAACAGAAGCTCTAGGAAGGGAGTGACGAGCGTATCAGCACTCTCCACGCTCCAGATCAGGAAGTCTTCTTGCGTGAGCGCCACGTCGTTGCTGATCAGACCCTCGCTCTCTGACTCCTGCTGAAGAAACATTGTGGTTAGTCATTAATAGAACTTCCAGAACCGTCCAGAGTATCCAGCTCCATCTATTTGGATCGGATGTATTCGTCTGAACATTGATGCACTGTATTTAAACCAAGAACTACGTTCATATTAGCTTCTGTGTAACATATCCCTTGTGACATGCAAAACAGAATCTGAATTTTGACAACTATAACCGGGACTCCGTTGCGCCTGCATTTAACCCAATTGTATTCAGAATATAATTTCCTCGTAAGACGTCAACACTAGCCATACATAATGCAAATTTGTCTTAAAGTAATTTAAATATAAACGGGAATACAAAATTCGTTTATCGAGCATTTGTGACGTCAATAACTGGTTTGATTTAGGTCATGGTACCAGTACAAAAAACGATATAATTTTGAAACTAAGGTGACAATAACTGCCTGATCGACACTTACCATCAGGTGAGATACAGGCCAAGAGCTTCCTCGTTGTGGATAAAAAAAAACGCAGGGATACTAGGATCGAGTCTCGATCAGGCTAGGATGCGCACCGCGATAAACTTTTTTGAGGCATTTTATCGATTTTGCATGATAAGCACATACATTTGTCGTCTTAAATCGTCACGTATCCTAGCTCGACAGGTTACTTCCACAAATGAATTGGCGTACAAAAAATTAGCGTCATCAAGATTGTCTTTTGTAAAACAGAGGGTAAAATTGTTGCATACTCATTGTGCATAGACTGTCGCATATTTAGGGTACCTAGTCGTGAAGACTTCAAATTTAATTATGTCATATTAGTTTTTACAACGTAGTTGACTGCATGCAAAGGCATGGCATAGCAAATAATACTTCTTATAATTATAGCATTTAGTTAGATCACATTTGTTTAGCATCAAATGTAACCCTATATTATGTACACAGTAAACACCTAATTGGAAAATCACCGTCGTCACATTATTTATTTTTTCTGATCACGATTACTCACCTGTTTACACATCTCAATGTAAAAGGAAATGTGTTCGTTTGAATGCTTGACGAGTACATGACTCACTAAATTATTATCCAATTGTTACTTTAACAAATCAAAGTACGGTGCAACTATCGATTCTCCTTTTTAATGAAATTAAAAAACCGAGGAGGTTCCCAATCGATTGTATATTTTTTATGTTCATTACCTTAGCCATTTATGTACTAATTTGAAGAATATTCTCTGAAAATATGATAATATCACGTCTGAATGTATATGACGTAGCAAGCTGGTCTTGAAGATGCGTTTTACTCCTATCTTAGAGGGTTCGGCGCGCTCGCGCGATTGTTTTTTGTCACAGTGACAGTATGTCTCTTTTCTTTTCTTTAAAATTGGAGTAAAAGAAACAGATATACTTATACTATCACGAATCATACTGTCAAGGCGCAAGGTTGCATAAGTTGTGGAAGTCAGACACCGGCAGATAATTACACTAATTTATCGCTGATGAATGTTTATTTCGTATTTTTTACCTTAGCTTAAAATGACCGTCATTTTAATTATTTCAACCATTAAAAACTGACGTTATCAATGAATAATATAAATTCATTGATAAGTTTAATGTTCTGAAGCCACCTATATGATTCATTAATCGGTTCAGATTCAAATTCACAGCATGAAACACAAACAAAGATACAAATCTTTCTTAATTGTACGCGTAACTTGAATGCAAATGCAGGAAAAAATAATGTAATGAAGAGGATAATAAATTATTACGAGAAAGGTACACATTCCAGCTAAACAATGCGACTCAGTCAAGGCTGCAGTCATCATAACCATCACCTGTATATCAAGTTTACCTATCTATAGTATTTATTTACCTAACACACATTTCACTAGCATTACAGGAAAACCCCAATGCATCAGTGAATTAAAAATACATAGTTTATTTAATCAATTTAGATTGTTTAATTTACACAAAAAACTCTAACGAAGTAAAACTATTTGATAGTGACAAATCGTGTGAAGAGGTACCTATCTATTTTCAGAAATTATCATAGGCTATCTGTTAATCCGACTAATACACATTTATTTTAGTCCATTTCCAATGTCCCTTCTTCCAGAGAGCTGTAACAATTTATAAACTAGACTACTAGATAAACTAAATTTAGTTTACACGCGAAACGCCCTTGAACTTAAACCTGCAATTGGTTGGATATCGATCGACTTACATCGATACTTGATAGTAGAATTACATTTGAGTGTCGTTTTAGAAAAGGGCCATAGAGAAAGCAGGTCTCAGAATATAAACATGGCCTTGAACTACATAGTTTCTTAACAATATAGCAATATTATGCAACTGACACGTCTGTGAGAGCCACTAGTGTTCTACAAGTCGAGTACTTTACTATAAATTGTATTATTCGATACATAAAACCATGAACAGCATCATTCGTATGTTTTTTTAAATAAAGTTAACCCATCGTGGTGAGCTAAATATGCTTGTGTTACGAGTAGGTTCACCACAACACAATAGTAAAACGGCGATCGAACCAGCGTTCTCGGATCACGAGTCGGCCAGTGAGACACCTTCACGGTTCACGGTAAACATAAACCTGACTATTTAAGGTTTACGAGATATTCAGCACTAGTAAAAAGGCATTATTGCAACTAAGACTAAGAGCTAGTGAACGCCAGACCTACGTCATTTTATAAAAGCTAAAAGTTTGTCAGCGTATGCTCCCAATATAGGATAGAATGTTGGTGAATCATGAACTTTGGGTCATCGTGGCTTTGGCAGCTATCCTAAAACAGACAGTTTTGACAGTTGCAACTCCTTGCCAGACAGTAGGAAAATGACGTAGGTCTGGCGTTCACTAGCTCTTAGTCTATTATGGGAAGTACACGGTGATATTCTTGACAGGCAAGCTGAAATTAAACCGTATTAAACAGCATCATCATGACGCAACAAGAAAAACCTATTACCATTTTGAAACGCATGTAAATCTGTGGAGCGATTTAGCATCTATCATTGTCTGTAGTTAAGTCGTTTACGATGTTTTTATATAATTAGACCAATTTGTTTTACCTACTTAATCCTTCTAAATACGTTTCGACTTTGTATTTCTTTTATGTCTACTTTGTGTGGCGTGCTATAAAAATCATGCATAGAATCTATCATCTACATCGCCGTGTGAACAGGCCCTAATCATTTATTTCTCGTCAGCGCATTTGACCACTTGCGTCTCTTTAATTTGCATTAACTCGTGCACATATGGAACAATAGTCATAATTGTTACATACACTTGCGTTTTCATACACGTCATGCTTGTTCTCAACTCTAATACAGAAGACAGCACGTCAAGCTAACACGGCTTTTTATACAGTCGTAATAAGAGCGGTTTTGCGACAAAAATGCATAGTCCGTTGTGTTGTTGTCTGTACTTTATGCAAACATGACAATGACATTTTTCTCGATCTTTCTTCATACAGACAGATTACGATTCAAAGTGCCTAAACATTAGTGTAATATGCACATATCATTCCATCGTTTATTATGTAGAATTTCATTAGGCCACTGCTGTCATGTTTCTATCAGAAAGATTGGACTGTACACATGATTATGGAAGTACTTCAAAAATAACATTGTTGATTTGAACGCAAAATATCCCAGATTTTTCTAAACTGTCTGTCTCTATAAAATTAATTACATAGTATGATATTTAGGAATAGGCTTGAATGAGTACACACAACTTTTGGGCAAAAGGGACCGCTATGATAGCCTCCTAACCACCCATGACCTAAATTGCGTTTCCAATGGTTTTGATGAAACCGGCATCGATTTCCGTCCATTCATTGCTTTAAGTAATTGCTTCATTATCACTAGTCATTTCACTGATTTTATCGATGTTAGTTGTAAACTGTTCGGGGTCATAAAATAGGATTTATGTTAACACAGCAAAACAGCGACATTATAACTTGATAAACTCTCAGTCAGTCTGTCTCAGAGGTTCACCAGCGTTTTAGCATACAGCTTAAAGGTCTTATCGAACATATCCGTCACCATAGGAATGATATTTTTTCAGCAGCAGACCTGTCAAGAGCGACTGATGATGATCTCACTCACCTCGTTCAGAGTGACGATATTTTCTTCATCTGCCTTGGGCCCGAGATGAAACATGGCCTTCTTGGGCGCGGGAACCAGCTTGCCCTTAAGGTTCACCAGCACCACTTCTGGGTCGAAACCTTTGTCCGCTTGCTCGGAGTCATTGGTGTCGGGGGTAGACGCTCTTGAACCTATAATAATAAGGATGTATTAGTATTTCCTGCTATGGGTATTATTGTACAGGTTATTTAAACTTTAATGTGACATAAATCATAAATGAATACATAAGACGTCATAATGTTTTTTTTTATTAAGTGGCAACCAAACCTCTCTGGGAGGTTTCAACAAAATGTTATAATGCACTCTCTACAAGTTCATTGCCAATGCCATTATGAAGTGAATAGCAATTGTGTGCAAATGATGGCACCAGAGGACGCACTTTAGTGAAGTGGATATGTCATAGATTATTTCACAAGAAAACAAAATTAGTGTAAAAATAATCGATTTCCAGTGAAGGTCAACTGGCATTAGACCCGCATCGAAATTAATCAGAAGAACCTAGGAGGAGTTCGAAGTTAAAGTTCGCCTTCCCTCCATTGCAAAGCGGATGCTAGGTGACAGCTCATGTTAATCAAATCAAATGTCGTTTAATTTACCNAAATACTGCACAGTATTTAGTACACCATTTTCTTTATTTTTGTCCATCATACACAAGAATACGCGTGCGTGAGTCAATGTTCGCTCGTATGTGACGCCCTGTCGAATAGTACTCTTGTAGGGGGCAATCGTGCGTGTTTTGTTTTCGATGTAAACTCGCGGAGATGAACAGGCCTGATATAAGCAACAATAGAGTTTAATGTTACATCATACACTTGCGTTTTCATATACGTCATGCTTGTTCTCAACTCTAATACAGAAGACAGCACGTCAAGCTAAAACGGCTTTTTACACAGTCGTAATAAGAGCGGTTTTGCGACAAAAATGCATAGTTTGTTGCGCTGTTGTCTGTACTCTATGCAAACGTGACAGTGACATATATTATTTCTCGATCATTCTTTATACAGACTGGTGGGAGAGATTACGATTCAAACTTTTTATTCTTTTTTTTTATGTGACAGGAGGCAAACGAGCAAACGGATCACCTGATGGTAAGTGATTACCGTCGCCCATAGATACCCGCTGTCTCAGGGGCATTACATGTGCGTTGCCGGCCTTTAAGGTGAAGATACGCTCTCTTCTTGAAAGCTTGCAGGTCGTATCCGTCAGGAAACACCGCAGACGACAGTCCATTGCCTAAACATTCGTTTAAATGCACATATCATTCCATCGTTTATTATGTAGAATTTCATTAGGCCACTGCTGTCATGTTTCTATCAGAAAGATTGGACTCTACACATGATTATGGAAGTACTTCAAAAATAACATTGTTGATTTGAACGCAAAATATCCCAGATTTTTCTAAACTGTCTGTCTCTATAAAATTAATTACATAGTATGATATTTAGGAATAGGCTTGAATGAGTACACACAACTTTTGGGCAAAAGGGACCGCTATGATAGCCTCTTAACCACCCATGACCTAAATTGCGTTTCCTATGCTTTTAATGAAACCGGCATCGATTTCCGTCCATTCATTGCTTTAAGTAATTGCTTCATTATCACTAGTCATTTCACTGATTTTATCGATGTTAGTTGTAAACTGATCGGAGTTATAATGTACTATTCATCAACGCAATAAAATGTTAACACAGCAAAACAGCGATATTATAACTTATTAGTTTATGGTAAAAATATATCACTAAGTACATAATGGTAGTAACGTTGCCGTTCTACATTATTAATTGAAAATCTATCGACATACTCGCGTGGGCGCACATGTGTCTGTATCGACGATGATGATCCGACTTTGATTTCGCATTCGCGATGAGGAGGGGCAGACTCGATCAGTTGAGGAGAGCCGTAATGTAACACAGAGCACACGCATCGGGAGATGAAGATTCTAATGCGTCGGAAGTTCGAACCGGGCAGCCGTGCATGTTTTAGCGTACAGCTTTAAGGTCATATCAGACTTATAAACTCTGAAAGGGATCAACAACGTATCGCCTTTCGCGCGCTGTCAATTGCGAGGTTAGGCGTTTACGTTACGGTGCAGATAAGTGTGCGTTGCAGTATGGAGTTTCATACAAAGAATAGTGACCGACTCGAGTTGATACGGTTACGATCCCTTTCCGGGTTGATAAATGTGTCCTTAAAAAAGGTCTTAAAAGGACCCAATTCATCATAAGATATTTTTTCAGCAGCAGACCTGTCTAGAGCGCCTTATGATGGTCTCACTCACCTCGTTTAGAGTGACGATATTTTCTTCATCTGCCTTGGGCCCGAGATGGAACATGGCCTTCTTAGGCGCGGGAACCAGCTTGCCCTTGAGGTTCACCAACACCACTTCTGGGTCGAAACCCTTGTCTGCTTGCTCGGAGTCATTGGTGTCGGGGGTAGACGCTCTTGAACCTATAATAATAAGGAGTATTAGTATTTCCTGCTATGGGTATTATTGTACAGGTTATTTAAACTTGAATGTGACATAAATGAATACATAAAACGTCATTATGTTATAAGGCACTCTCTAACAAGTTCATTGTCAATGCCATTATGAAGTGAATAGCAATTGTGTGCAAATGATGGCACCAGAGAACGTACTTTAGTGAAGTGTATGTGTATATCATGTCATAGATTTATTTCACAAGAAAACAAAATTATTGTAAAAATAATCGATTTCCAGTGAAGGTCAATTGGCATTAGACCCGCAACGAAATTAATCAGAAGAACATAGGAGGAGTTCGAAGTTAAGGTTCAACTTTCCTCCAGTGCAAAGCGGATGCTAGGTGACAGCTCATGTTAATCAAATCAAATGTCGTTTAATTTACCTTTTTTATGTGACAGGAGGCAAACGAGCAGACGGATCACCTGATGGTAAGTGATTACTGTTGCCCATAGACACCCGCAGTCCCTAAATGCGTTTCCGGCCTTTAAGATGTAGATATGCTCTCTTCTTGAAAGTTTGTGGGTCGCATCGGTCTGGAAACACCGCAGACGACAGTCCTTTCCACGGTTTGGTTGTACAGGGCAGGAAGTTTCTAGAGAAACGTACTGTTGTGTACTGCCAACCATCTAAAACTCTAAGTGATGGGCTACCTTGCTGCTTGAGGGCTTCGTTGGCGACGGTACAAAGGATGCCCACCATGTCCACCAGCTCCTTCTTGTTCAGGACCCCGTCCCGGTCCATGTCGAAGATCTTGAAGCAGACTGCAAAGAAAACTTGAGGTTAGATGTCTTTGAATAAGAAACCTGGATCGTGAATGCCTTATGTCAAATATCTAGTGTTTAAGGATGGGTTGCACCATCTTACTTTAACTTTGACAAACGTCAAAAATCCGTCAAACTCCATACAAAATTCACCGGTTACCGTTATATTTACCGTCAAAGTTAGGTGGTGCAACTCAGGACTCAGCCTAAGAGAGTTAACTGTACGTCTACGCAACAATATAAATAAATAAAAAAATAAAAATACGAAAACGTGGTATTATACACGATATTTATTTCCATTCAATACACATAGTTACTTATCGTTCCTGTATCGAATAATGCACACATAAGACAAAAAAACGTGTGTAACTACTAACAAAACTAGATTTTCAACTGTATACCTAATAAATAAATAAATAAAAGTACCCCGTACAAAAAAGAGCCCTATTGGGACTGCACCACAGGCCTAGAGGCCACACCTCACCACCTCACCACCACCACACCACAGGCATAAAGTTTCGTTATCGCTTCTTAAATTATGGAAAAATTATCAATAAAACTCCAATACTTTTTTGTTGTACCTACATCGTACATACATACTATCTCCTCATTGTGTCGTTCAAAGATCAAGGTGATGAAAATTAAAGTTCTGTGTGAACTCATACCTAAAGATGCTAGATACAAAANAAGGTGATGAAAATTAAAGTTCTGTGTGAACTCATACCTAATGATGTTAGATACAAAATACGTTAATAATAAAAATAGAGGTAAACAGTTCTATTTTCCGCATTGAGATCTTAGTAAATTCGTTATCCTTTAAAGTTGTAAGAATGGAAGCTACAACTTCCTCACTAAACAAGGAATTAGGTGAGCATTTCGTAACAAAATACATAATGCATATTTCCTTAACATATTAAGGCCACGTTTGTACTTGTTTGTAAATTGCTTTTAACACCAAAAGATATAGCGCATTTTTTCACTTGGACACGAAGAAGCAAAGAAAAAAGAAGATTCGCATGATAAGTAAAAATGGCAGCAGTATCAGATTAATTGGGATCCCTAATGAAACAGATTTTTGATAGTAGAAGTCAAAATTAGCTGATTTGCAATTGATTGGACTCCTTTCTTATCACCTCTTAAAATTAGACTACGTAGTGAGTAGGTATTGAATATACCACATCTGGTATATTATGTTATAGTGTTATGAATAATTAATTCGCACGCAGCGACATTGTTAGATAACGGTTATCAGTATTGTATAATAATACGGCCAATAAATTAAGCGGCGTATTGTGCCGGTACACAATAGGTACACGTTACGGCCCGAGGACGTAGTGAGACGGAAAGCCTTGGGAGCAAGGTCGATTCCCGATGAGGGTCAAGTAATATTAGACTCGGATTTTAGTGGGTAGCCCCGCCCTCCTGGCTGGGAAAGTCCTACATAACCCACTGACTGTCCCCATCGGCCAGTGGGTATGCGCAAAGCATTTCCCGACGAAAAAAAAGGCATATAGCATACTAGCTTTCCGCCCGCGGCTTTGCCCGCGTGGAATTTTGTCTGTCACAGAAAAACCTTATCGCGCGCGTCCCTGTTTCAAAAACCGGGATAAAAACTATCCTATGTCCTTTACCGGGACTTAGGCGTGAAAGCGTGACAGACGGACAGACAGAGTTACTTTCGCATTTATAATATTAGTATAGATAGTAGTGACATAGGACGTGACAGAGCATACACGTCTGAAGCATATCTAGTCTCGCTGACGCTTGACGTCACAAAATATACTTTATAAATAAATACTTTCTTTCTTTCTTTCAAAAAACCTCTTTCGTGTCACTCCTATAGTCAAGCACTGATTCAATTAATGTATGTGAACCTGTAAAATTATAGGTACTGGTACATATAAAAACAACCTAGACAAATCATCAAGGATTTATAACCAAGAAGAAAGAATGATGCCATGATATTAACCTTATTTGGTAGACATACTTGTACTACGTATTTGCATATTTTTAAATGTCCATGATTTCTAGATAAATATTATTTTAACCCAGTAGTGTTAATCAAATTAATATTCTCGTCAAACAAAAATATTACCGAAAAAAATTACCAGCCAGATCAACATGAGGATTTTCCAATAATTAATGTTAATTAACGTGACGACAAAACGTTTCATCGTGGAAATAATATTAATAGACATTTCAAACAATAGGTTTTTGTGTTTTAAGAACAGAAGTTTCTAGTAATGCATGAGTAATATTGATAAGTATCTATTTTTGTTGTTTTGATGGTGGAGGCAGATACTATGTCCGAATGTACAATACATACATGCATGACACCTGACGATTGACACGTTACTAGAAGAAATGTATCATGTACCAGATATGAAATACTAAAAGCAACAACAATCAATTGGCCTAACACTAGGCGCAGACCACCGATTTTTAGTTGGCCGATAGTTAGACCCGATTTTATTTTGTACGAAGATTCGGTGTAATGTACGTACTTCCATACATGCCCATACTGATCAACTGCCCGACTAAACTATCGACCGACGAAAAATCGATGGTCTGCGCCTAGGCTAAATATCCTTGACATCGTTCATGCCGGTGACATTCCCATAGCAGTGAGTTTAGCTATCATGAAATTTTATTCTATTTAACCTTCTACCCTGGCCTTGAACAAAACCAAGAATCAACCCTGGCGAAATAAACCATGGCCTTAAAGAAACAAGAGTCAATTGATAAAACATCCTAGATATGTCATTGTCAGTCTTAAGTCAGAGGTAAGGAGGAAGCGCGTTGGAGGAAGTCCGAATTTGTCAGATTAGCGCAGATCTTGACACAGCCAGGTCATTGGACAGGGTCAAAGATGGCGGCGTAGAGGACAATGGAAGGGTGGCATAGACTATGGCGGAGTGAACAACCCTAGCAGGCTATGATATTAAGGCACGATCCTTAATATAAATATAGTCAATAAATGTGGATACATTTATTGTGGTTATTTCTATTTATTTAAACCGGCAGACAGCGGTGACTGAGTTTTTTGTAGCGCTTCTTTTCAGTAGTTGCCAAATGTTGGTCTCGAAGCGCTGGTAGGGCAAAAAGAGTATAAGACATTTGAATTTGAATTTGACTTGTAAAAGCTCCATTAGAGCAACTTTGCATGAAAAATAAGTTATTTTAGCAAAACTGCTAGAAAGACTAAAAAGTCCCGAAAATTAGATGAAAAGGTTCGAATCTAAGTAACTAATGTAATTGCTATAATTAGAAATGTTTTCAGCTGCACCACAATAGACTTTTTTTCTGTACTACACAGCAATACAGACTTTTAAGAATTAATATGTATTTATAATTAATTAGGTATAATGAATACATTTTTTACTCATTTTTATTTGCGTTGTATTACAATATCTCAAGCACCTAGCAAATAGATGTTAATTTTGACTCGTAAAATTCGTTTTCATTTATTATTTATGTATAATTGAAACAGATTATAAAACTAATAGGTTATTAGTAATAACACAGACGCGAAAACGAGGCACATTACAAGTAAAAAGTCGTTTAATAATGGTAGTAACATCAATTAAACACTTCAAACAAGGCAGACGACGCGATTACGCGCTCGAGTGCGTATCGTACTTTATGAACGTTTCGTTCGTCTAGTCGGATCCAAGCGTTCCTGTCGTTCATACTGAAATTTTGACATGAGCGATAGCGACAGACATCCAAGTATATCCTCCAGTCTGTTGTCAATTGTCCATAGTAGTTTGTATAACTATCAAAAAGAGAGTTAAGTAAGGTAATTTTAGCATGTTGGTTGCAAATCACAGTCACAACTAAATTTTATATCTTCTTTAGAGNGAACTCTATCCTTATTGTCGGGAATCACGATATGACACAAAACAAAGCTCGGAAATTTCTATACAGTGGTTATGCCATTGTCAGCCAATGAGCAGGTTTCCTTACAACTTTTTTCCTTTATTACTATTTCTTAACAATATCAGTTTAAGTTAAAATTACTGTTTTATTGGTTCTGAAGTTAAGTCTCATAATTATAACCTCAATAAAATTCTTAATCATCTATTTATTCAACTACAAATTATGAATACAAACCGGGTGTCTTTTTTACAATAAACTATTACAAAAGATTTGATAAAACACTTGATAAAGAACAGTTTCTCATGTGTAAAAGATGTAAATTAAGTAGGTATACCTACACAATTCAGTAAAAATTTTAATTAGTGTCGGATCGTTACGCAATTTATTTTTACATATAAAAAAGTTTCTTCACGTTCCCAGACATGAGTTAGATAGATATACGTAGGACGTAGGTATATACTCGTATTTAAATACATACAAAATACCTACCTGAAGTCAGAAATATTATGATTTTATGTAAATCCATCGAGTCGAAGATAAAAGAAACAAAACACAGTCTTAAACCTTACAGTATTCCCTAACTAAATAAACAGGTAGTTATGTATTGTCTTAACTAACAGCTCAAACACTATTCCTAGCCTTAGCCGTTGTAGTTTAGTTTAGCTTCCATAGCTTACACAGTTTTCTACAGTTATATGCGAACTGTAAACTATACAAACACTATGGGACTGCGTCAGCAGTAAACAACCGACTTATGACTAGAAATAGTAAAACTTAGATTAGCTTCTGGTCTGCCATCAATGGACCCATAGACATTATTTAAGTGCTGCTGAGACCATAAAGAGTTCCGTAGGCAGTTGCCGATACGCAGCGCATAATCAAGTTCCGTACGGGTCACACGCACAGCGGACTTCCGTACTGAGTACTGTGACAGCTGACAACCGTCACTCAGCAGGAATTGCTGCACAATAGCGCGCTTGGATTTATGATTCGGGTCGCTAAATTCAAACTGTGCTACAGATTTTTAATTGAATCAGTAATTGGGGTCTTCCGTGATTCAGTGGCTCTATACTTTTGATTTCTACGTGGGATACATAGTGTAAAATATGAGTAATATATGT